GCACCGGCTTATAGGTATCAATCCTGGATTGTGTAAACCAGGAATCGTGGTCTGTCAAAACAAGGTTGCAGTCCGCGCTGGACAAGGAATGGAGGAGGTGGCAAGGACAAGGCCCAGAATGCCAACTCTGGCTTTGCAAACGGCATGTCTCTCTTCAAACCTCTTTCGTCCTAGGTTTGCCTACAAAGACGAGTACGAAAAATTCAAACTCTATTTAACCATCATCCTGTTGCTTGGAGCAGTTGCTTGTCGGTTTGTTCTCCATTATCGGTAAGTTGACAAGCTCGGCAAACGGTTGTCCTTGTTCAGGTTTTAAATTGCAGCCATGGATTTTGAACCTGTACAGTATCTGCACAGTATCGGCAGTTTTCTTTTTAAAAAAAAAAAAAATTACGTACCTACGTTTACATATATAAATATTATCCTGGGTATTTTGGTTTTTGGAGGGTGGGAAATAATCCTTGATTTTTTCTGCAGGGTCACTGATGAAGTGTTCAACTTCCTCTTGGTTTGGTATTACTGCACGCTGACGATAAGAGAAAGCATCCTCATCAGCAATGGATCAAGGTACTAGTCCTCAAGATGGTGCGGTAATTTTGAGATCCACCCATCTTGCAGTTGCCAGGGTTGAAATCTTCTGCTCTGTACTGCGCTATAAAGCATAGGTAAAGGTAAAGGTTCCCCTCACACATATGTGCTAGTCGTTCCCGACTCTAGGGGGCAGTGCTCAACTCCATTTCAAAGCCGAAGAGCCAGCGCTGTCCGAAGACGTCTCCGTGGTCATGTGGCCAGCATGACTCAACGCAAAAGGCGCACGGAACGCTGTTCCCTTCCCACCAAAGGTGGTCCCTATTTTTCTATTTGCGTTTTTTACCTGCTTTCGAACTGCTAGGTTGGTAGAAGCTGGGACAAGTCACGGGAGCTCCCCCCGTTATGCGGCACTCGGGATTCGAACCGCTGAACTGCCGACCTTTCGATCGACATGCTCAGTGTCTTAAGCCTCTGAGCCACTGCGTCCATAAAACATAACATGGCTTAAAAATGTGTCTTTTTTTTAATTCCAGGATTAAAGGCTGGTGGGTGTCTCATCATTACATTTCTACGTTCTTATCTGGCGTGATGCTAACGTGGTAAGCAGTTTCCCCTCCTATTTTTAATCCTTCGAACGGCAGACCAGCCTTAGAGATTCTTGGATCATCAAAAGAGAATTGAGTCCGTTGAATTATTTTAACAGTTATTCCAGTTTTTTATGTTCTCTTGGTTTTGGCTGAATATCATAATCTCTTCTATCTGGGTTGGTTCAGTTTTGGTTTTTTTCCCCTTTTCTTTCCTGTTTCCACAGGCCAGAGGGTCTCATGTACCAAATGTTCCGGAACCAGTTTTTATCTTTCTCCATTTTTCAGAGTAAGTAAATATACTTAGCGGATCCACATGAAAACGTGGGATTTTGAGAGCAGCCAGGTCTGTGCGGCATACGGTAGCAAAATCAAGGTCAGAAATTTTGATCACATGACTGCGAGGAATGCTGCAGTGGTCATATGTGCGAGGACCGATCTTTAGTCACTTTTTTCAGCGCTGTGATAACTTGAAATGCTCGTAAGTCAAGGACTATCTGTAGGCCCAGGTGAAAATCACGGAAGGTTAATAAATTACAGGCTCAATTCCTTTTTTTTTTTAATTGAAGCCTATTTCCTTTTTTTCTTCTTCTTCTTTCCTTTCCAGGCTGTGTCCAGTTCCTTCAATATTATTACCAAAGTGGCTGCCTTTATCGACTTCGTGCCCTGGGGAAAAGAAACCACTTGGATCTCACAGTGGGTAAGCGTCATGCCCGTATTAGGCACTCCGATTTGTTTGGGAGTTTTAGTTTTCCAGTATTTGGATCAGGGCTCTCATCAATCCATGGAAAATACCTAGAAACAGGTATTTTCAATCACGCGGCTTCACGAGTGATCCCATCTGTTGTTTCTGTCTTGGTAGCAACTTAATATTGCGTGTTTGGGGACCCAGCTCCCCAAACACGGCAAACCCTCTGAAGTGAACTGAAAAGATTCCTTTATTAGGAGCGCTGGCAGTCCCGGCAAAAAGTTTCTCAACGCAGGCTAATAAGTCAGTCTGACAGGGAGATGAATAGATGTCTGCCAAATCTATTCATCTCCAACCCCTGCCTTTTAGCCCCAGAGCTAGAGTGGGGCTTCGCTAGCAGCGGTGGCTCTTCCGTCCCAAGGACTGGCCCATAGATTTCCACTGCTCTCCTCTCCTCTTCCTTCTGCGCATTCGTGCGTCAGGCACTGGACTCAGCTGTTCCTCCTCCTCCTCATCAGCCACCTCCAGACCTGTGGGCTGTTGACTCTTCCCCCTCGGAGCTCTGATGCTGACCCTGACTTCCACCCCTCCTCCTCTGAGTCGGCTGCTGGAGGGGCCGGCGGTCAACAGGCCACAACAGAAGGTTTCAAGAGAGACATTAGGAACCCAAATCTCCCACCAATAATCTGTTTCCATCGGTTTTAAAATAAATTCTTTTTTTCTGTTTGTTTGCTCTTTAGTGGATGGCATCTCTCGTGTCCATTAGAAACTGTTTCCCTCGTAATAAAATCGGATAAAAAATGCTCTGTGGGCTGTTTAATTTGACTGCGATTGTTTTGATCTTTTGATAGAGGGGTTTCAGTCCTGGATGTGGCGAGGACTGACGTTTCTCCTCCCTTTTCTGTTCTTTGGACAGGTAAGTTGGATACCACGTTCTTTGCAGATATATTTGTTAGATATACAGGCAGTCCTGGACTTAATGACTACAATTGTCAATAATTATCTTGTGATAAATACGGTTCGTAAAGCTCTTCTCGGTTTCTCTTGCTTCCAATCATGGCTCAGATCTCTGTGAGTAGAACCCTGTTACTAAATCTTCCTCTCCCCCCCCTCCCCTTCCCTCTGCTTAAGTTTTGGCAGCTCTACAATGCGATCAACCTTTTTGAACTGTCCAGGCACGAGCAATGTAAAGAATGGCAAGTAAGTGTTTTGGGGGTTCAAAATAATTTTTTACTCTAGCGGAGAAAGGGTTACATGGGCCGGTTGAGAAACCTAGAAACGGAACACAAAGAGTTGAGAGGAATGTGGTTTGATATTTGTGAAGATCTGGAGTGGTCAACAGCTGACAATGAAGTTTTCTGAACGTTCGGGGATCATTTTTTCATCCCAACCGAAGTCGGAGATCTGGTCAACTTGAATATTACGTTGCTCTTCCCTTCTTGTGCAACATTTTTGAGCAGTATGACTGAGCCAACGGCCGAACCCTATGCACTTAGGGGCAATCGGTAGTTCTATTTAAGCAGCTCAGTTGCTTCTCAAGATGAGTAATAGCCAGGAGGGGTGCTTTCCTTATTCAATTAATCCCACATAATCAGAAATCGCTGCACGGAGAACAAAGAGAAATCTTCTTTGATCCACCGTAAATGAGCAATGGCCAGTTCCTGTTAGTTATTAGTTATACACCATCCCTTAAAATGCTTTCTTAATCTGATGCCTTCAGATTTCTTCCTAGGAGTTAGGATTCTTGATTCTGACACATTAAGAGGACAACTTAACCAGTGGGCCAACGTTGCTCCTCATACTTTTCCAGCATGATGTTTTCCCCCATTAATTGTCACGTCTACCCTCCAAAGTGGGTATCTCTCTATGTGGGTGCATGATTTCTCTTGTCTTCCTCCCTGTCTTCTCCAGGTTTCGGTCCTGGGTCTGACATTTCTCATCCTCTTCCTCGGAAACTTCCTGACCACCCTGAAAGTGGTCCATACAAAATTGCAGAAGAACAAAACCAAGAAGTTGTGAAAGAGGACGACTGAACTGGCGGGCAGGACCAGTCGACGTGGGATGGAGTCCTGGTTCGTGGTGAACCTTCTCTGCATTTGTTCCAGCTAGTTCTCCAGCTTCCTGACCGCTAAGCGAAGCCCTGGAGGAAATTCCACTCAACGTCCTGTTGCGTCCTCCAGAACTGACTGATTAGTCAATGCTGCTGTCTTCCTACCAATGAATGACCTGTTTATATATTTATACTGAATGCAAGATCCCAAATTTGGGGGAGCCATAATGTTGGCCCTCTCTGTGAGGGATATGGATGGGAGTCTTTTTTTTTTTTTTTTAAGGCGATAGAATTATTCTGGAATAAAGTGAGCTTTAATTGTGCTGCTGTTTGATGTGCCGGGGTTGGGGAAATCTTTCTGCCTCTTAATGCCCTCCAATCCAGAGAGTTTCTTAGAAGTTTGCAGAGTTGCAATTGCTTGAATAGGTGCCCCACATCTCTCTCTTTGCCGTCACTTGGGGGGGCAAAATTATGTGAATTTTGGCTTCGGATGCTCAGGCTGTTTTTATGATATAGGCGGGAGTCTCCATTTTTCCTTTTAGCCTTTATTTCAGCCAAATTCTTCAGCAAGGATGGGAGATGAGAAATTACAAAACCATCTTGCAGCTCGGGAGGGAAATCACAATGTGTTCTTGGCTTTGTTGACCCAAAGATTGCAATGATGATTTCCCTATTCTTCCCTTGAAATTTCTTAGCGCTTCAAGGGGCAGGAAATGGCAAAGAAAGAACAGCTCCAGAGGGGTTTCCCCCCCCCCCTCCCTGCGATTCTGTAACATAAGCTGTAGGATGTGTTTATTGTGAGGCCTTTTCAGGATTAGTTGTGATGAATTTTTGGAGAATGTGGATCACTGAGTATTCCTAGTCTTCCTGCCCACAGAAGCTACATTCTCTGCTGAAGAGAGCCCTGGAAATGACAGGTCCAAGCTGGAATCCAAGGCAAAACTCTTCTCTGCTTTGATGCATGCTGTGTGCACCCAGGTAAATTCTGCTGATTAAAATCTGAGTTATTTGGTGTATGATATCAACTGATTTTTCCCCTGGGTAAATCAACTGATCCGATAACCTTAGATTTAAAAATTATAACCCATTAACAGTCGGGTCCTCTTATTTATAATCAGTATTGTAGCTTAATGAAACACCCACTCCCTTCTCCATTAGTACAAATATTTATCCTTTCGGTGAAGGTTTTGATTTTTCTATTAAAATTAAAAAAAATATTTTAAAATACAGTTCAGAGCAATACAAAGACAGAAACATGGAGAATTGGCATAAAGAATCTAACTGTCAACTAGAAATAGTTTAAAGTCATAGCACCAGCTATAAAGGCATATTTCGAGGTAGCTATTCCTTATGAAATAGTAAAGAAATCTATATAGGCACAAAAAGCAGGGAAAATTGTGAGTCATTTCTGGTTGAATCTCCCAATTGAATTGGGGTTTACTATACCTAAGTAACAAATCTCAGCCATACTATATTTTAACTACTAACCCATTGGACTGTCTATTTTTATCTCGCTTACTACAAAAGGAAGGATGATGTTACATTCATACATCATACTGAATGATGGTTTATTTTAACTAAAGGTAGCTGAAAAAGCACACTCGGCGAAGTTAATGGCAACCTTAAGTCATAAACCACAGTCTGCAAGCTATAGCGTGACACATGGAAACGGTGCATTAAATCAGCATTTCTCAACCATGGCAACATGAAGATGTGGAGACTTCAACTCCCAGAGGGCTGACTGGGGAATTCTGGGAGTTGAAGTCCACAGATCTTCACACTGCCACGGTTGAGAAATATTGCATTAAATCAAAAATAGAGGAAACTCTATGGTTCAGCCTTTAGGTATGTTATGCAACTCCGGCGTGCACCTTGTAAAGTTTATTGGAAAGGACCACTTCCTTCATTTAGGTAATACTGCTATGATGTAAGAGGCTTTTTTTAATTGTTATTTTTTTAAAAAAAATGGCAAGTAGCAAAGTGATCATCTAGAAATAAAAAAAGACCTGGGAAAGGAAGTTCTGCTTCCTAGTGAAACCTCTCGCCACTGGATGCAAAAGCAGAAATTAATACAGAACAAGTTTCTCCTCCTGTTACAATCCAAATGAAAAGTCCCTTTTCAAGTCCAGATAGAAACCTACAAATGCTTCCTTGGATATCAGCTGTCTTCCTCTGTCCAGTTTCATGTCGTCATAAGAGGACGCAAGGTCTTGATTTGTTCTGGCGTTTGGCCTTCTTGATGGCGCTCAAAGCTATGCTAGCCGCTTCTCTGAAAATGGGTTCAATGTTTTCCCGAAACTTGGCTGAACACTCAAGGTACACGCTGGCACCGATCTTGCAACAAGCTTCTTCACCCTGCAAAAGGAGAATACCCACAGAAGCCTTAAGCGATGGGCATCAACAGCACGCAGCAAGATAAACTGAGTGATGGCTTACAGATTTTTCATGCTGCTTTGCGGAAGCTGATGGTGAGGAGGGCTAGTGACTCGGAGGACATGGGGGTCCCAGGAGGCAAGGAGCTGTGTGCTCTACTGTGCGCCATCTTAAAAGCTGAGCGTTGTAGGAGCGAATATATCTACTTCGATCTCATCGCACAAGATGGGCAAATGGACTCGCCTGTTGTGGTCTGCCGGCAGCCTGTGGAGCTGGCAGCAGATTCGGACAGTGAGGAGGCTGGGGAGGACCATGGGCCAGTCCTGGAGTCTGGGGAAGGCCTGGACGAGGGCTCTGCATCAGAGGCAGAGATGGGGCCAGGGCCATCTGGGAGTGATGTACGGACTCTGGAGCCTCCAGACTTGGACAGCAGAGAGGCAGAGGAACAGGAGGAGCCTGTTCCTAGTGCACGCATGAGAAGAGCTGCCAGAAGGCAAGAGCAGCTAAAGCAAAAGGGACAACTCAGGCCTGGAGATGATTGGCCCCGCCCATAAGGCTTAAAAGAGGAGCAAAGGCACGTGGGCCCTTTGCAGGAAAGCAACATTGTTAATTCAGTTCCCAGTCGGCATCTCTGTTTGATTCTGGATTCCGTGTGGCTTTGCCAAGTAGGTCTTTGGCAGAGTGTCAAGGGAGATAAAGGTTGGTGGTTATCCCGAAGGACTTCTCCCGAAGGACTTTTTGCAACTAATTGGGACTCAGCTGTGAAGGAACGTAATTCACAGCTGTTGCAATAAAAGAGGTTTTTGGGACTTCTCGTGTGTTTTAATGACTCGGGAAGCCTTGGGCACAACATCGCCTAGCCTCCTAAGGGTCTGTGGAAATTCTCAAATCATCCAGGTCATGGTTGAACCCAAAGTTATTTTTCCGAAAGGCAACTGGGCTTTTGGGTTTTTTTTCCCTTGAAAATGTTTTCGTTTTCAAGGGGAAAAAAACCTTGAAAGAAGCAGAACTGAAAGAGCTTCTTGGATGAAAAGTGAAACTTTCTCAAGGAAAAACCCAAGAATGTCAGTTGCCTTTTGGAAAAGGATCTTTTGGGATAGCCTCCTTCAATTTAAACCAAATCATTTTGTGACTCAGTGCATTGTGTGTCACTTGGTCATTAAATACTTTTCTATTCTGGGTCAGGCAGCAAATTCAGCTCTCCATCTTACACCTTCGATCGTATTGCTGTCTTGGTGAGAAACGGTCTTCACAGGAATGCGGACAGACCTGAAGCTTTGGTTATGAGTGATGCCTCCTCAACTGATCCGATGTTGCTCAAAAGCACAGGTGACCTGAATTTAGTGGATTATACCTGAAGAAAGAGATAAGTTGTTTGCTCTCTTTACCTGCTTGTAAGTGATCGGTTCCTGTTGAGCAGAACGGAGTTTTTTGAGGTGTTCTTTATCTTTCCGGAGATCAGTTTTACAACCCACCAAGAGGATGGGGATTCCGCGGCAGAAGTGGTTGACTTCCTGGATCCACTGTTGGGGAAGAAAGCGTGGACTTTACTAGACGAGCTCAAACGGAATAGGGGTACATGATGTACTAAGCTGTGGTTTGTAAGGACTGCGACTTGTTAGAAGCCATCTCCTAACTTTCCTGGTTTCTCCTCTCTTGTCTTGAAGGCTGAGAGTTAGACTAACGCTGACCGGTGTAGCTTTGGAAATACCAGAATTACATATGCTAAATGATAGTTTCTTCAATAAACTGCAACTGGTTTGATTTGTAGTTTATGCAAACCCTTAAATTATGGCTGACAAGCTACAGTGACGGCACACTCAGTTGTCACCAAACCAAGTGGAGAAATCTCCAGATCATATGTGCACCAAAGGACTTCTACATAGCTGCTTCACAAAGAGGTGACTCTATAGAGAAGAAAATTATGATTCTTTCACGTTTTAGTTCTAAAGACCTCTTACCTTAATTAATACATTATCAAAGCTAAAAGGATTCATGACATCATAGCAAATCAAAACCACATGAGTGCTTTGGTACGAGAGTGGCCGTAAGCGATCGTAATCCTCTTGTCCTAAAAGGAAGAAATTACCAAATACATTTAGGTACGGTTCTACGTGTGTATGTATATCTGGCTGACTTCTTGCTTGCTCTGTTTTTTACAACAATGCGGAGCAGGAAAACTCCACATGGACAGTATTTTCAATATGCCAAGCAAGATATGTTCTGATAATATTCCTAATTTGCACCACAGGGATTACCTAAACTAGGGGTCTGCAACCTTAAACACTCAAAGAGCCATTTGGACCCATTTCCCACAGAAAATAAAACACCGGGAGCCACAAAACCTGAGTGGGTGTGGCCAACCCCCTAGCCACGCCTACCCAACTGGTCATTAGGGCAGAGAAGCGGTTGTTAAAAAACACAAACCACAAAATCCTTTTGACCTCTCTCTCTCTCCCCCTCCCTCCCTCCCTCTTTCTCTCCCCCTCCCTCCCTCCCTCTTTCTCTCCCTCTCTCCCCACTCTCTCTGTATCTCTCTATGTCTCTCTCTCTTCCCCCCCCCCCTCTCTGTATCTCTCTGTCTCTGCCCTGGCTGCTTCTCCATCCCCTGCCGTCGCCCTTACCTTCTCAGGCCAGGCGAGGAGTGACTGGGAGGGGAGGGTGAGGGGTGAGGCCAGCCAGTAGTGGGCTCACCAGGCAGAGAGCCACAGCAGAGGGCCCAAAGAGCCGCATGTGGCTCCAGAGCCACAGGTTGATGACACCTGACCTAAACTTTTAGAGGAACACCTAACTTGGCTACCTTTTGATAAACTAACGTGTTTTTTTAAAAAAAAGCAGAATCAAAATGAATATTACCTGCAGTATCATACAAATGTAAGATGACTTCTTTTTTCCCCACAATGACATTGGTTGTGTATTTTTCAAAGACCGAAGGGGCATATTGCTGTCCGGAAGTGGAAAATGAGTGTTATTAGTATATACATTGTCAAGTTTCACAGCTCCTCCCAGAGTGTTTTACAACTTTATATTTCCCTTCTGCAAAAATAGCCACAAAAGTTTCCAAATGTTTAAGTGATGGCAACCACATACATTTAATCTGTTTTTAATTTTTTTTTTTAAAAAAAAAAACTGTCTTAAAACTCTTTTTAAAACTGTTAAAAATGTGTTAAGGGACTTTTTAAGGATAGCAGGTTGAGCCTGGACTGTGGGTAGCTTGTTTCTTTGCCTCCCATTCTGAGAACGAGCAGCAGATACATAAAACATAGAAAACTGATGGGCAGCAAAAGAACTAGCTGTCCAAACTTAGTCCATAAATCCAAATGCCTGAAACAGCCATTGTGTTGGACTAAGACTAAGAATAGAATAGAATAGAATAGAATAGAATAGAATAGAATAGAATAGAATAGAATAGAATAGAATAGAATAGAATAGAATAGAATAGAATAGAATAACAGAGTTGAAAGGGACCTTGGAGGTCTTCTAGTCCAACCCTCTGCCCAGGCAGGAAACCCTACACCACTTCAGACAAATGGTTATCCAACATCTTCTTAAAAACTTCCAGTGTTGGAGCATTCGCAACTTCTGGAGGCAAGTTGTTCCACTGGTTAATTGTTCTCCCTGTCAGGAAATTTCTCCTTAGTTCTAGGTTGCTTCTCTCCTTGATTAGTTTCCACCCATTGCTTCTTGTCCTGCCCTCAGGGGCTTTGGAGAATAGCTTGACCCCCCTCTTCTTTGTGGCAACCCCTGAGATAGTGGAACACTGCTATCATGTCTCCCCTAGTCCTTCTCTTCATCAAATTAGACATACCCAGTTCCTGCAACCGTTCTTCGTATGTTTTAGCCTCCAGTCCCCTAATCATCCTGGTTGCTCTTCTCTGCACTCTTTCTACAGTCTCAACATCTTTTTTACATCGTGGCGACCAAAACTGAATACAATATTCCAAGTGTGTCCTTATTACCAAGGCCTTATAAAGTGGTATTAACAATTTAAATGACCTTGATTCTATCCCTCTGTTTATGCAGCCCAGAACTGTGTTGGCTTTTTTGGCAGCTGCTGCACACGGCTGGCTCATATCTAAATGGTTGTCCACTAGGACTCCAAGATCCCTCTCACAGTTACTATCGTACCACATATACTGTACCTGTGCATTTTGTTTTTTTCCCCTAAATGTAGAACCTTACTTTTTTCACTGTTGAATTTCATTTTGTTAGATAGCGCCCAATGTTCAAGTCTGTCAAGATCCTTCCGTGTCTTGAGCCTATCTTCTGGAGTGTTGGCTATTCCTGCCAGCTTGGTGTCATCTGCAAACTTGATGAGTTCCCCATCTATCCCCTCATCCAAGTCATTGATGAAGATCTATAGACCTTCGCAAAGGCTAAGCCTTACTGTTTTTTTTTCTTGTTTTGAGCTGTATCTAGGATGTGGCACACCACAGACCTCCAGATATCCTGTCTGACTTCTGCCTCTTGGTCCAGGAGTTCTTTCAAGTAAAACACACTGCTCAAAAAAATAAAGGGAACACAAGCAGAAGACATCAGCGATCTGAATGAATGAAATAGCCTTATTAAATACTTTGTTCGTTACATACAGTAGTTTTGTGTTCCCTTTAGTTGTTTGAGCAGTGTATAAACTACTGTATGTAAAGAACAAAGTATTTAATAAGGCTATTTCATTCATTCAGATCTCGGATGTTTTCGGCTTGTGTTCCCTTTATTTTTTTGAGCAGTATATCAAGTAATTTCTGCAATTGTTCCAAGTAAAGGCAGATTTCTGCTAGAACCGGATTCTGCCGTGGATTTCAGTCCCATGCATACCTATGCATTGCTGAGCTCATTGGAACTAGACTTGCATTAATGGTGGTATCCAATTCAGATTTGCTATGGGGCCACATTGATTGCAGAAGCATTTATTCATGGAGATAGTAAGGTGTCCTTAGAGCCATGTGCAGAAAATTTAATCGCCTCTGAGGCCATCAAGGATGTGCAATCCCCTAACTTTTAAATCTGCGATAACTAAAGCAGTAATGGGAAGTCCATCACTCATGCATCCTGTTGCCAGCTACGTAGATGTTGAGATGTTTCTTAAGATTGAACCACCAAGGGAAACATTTTGCCCCATTTTAGTAATTTCCATGTCGTTTGGCTTGTGTCGTGTGTAGCGATAAGGCAAGCCTTTTCGCTTCATTTAAAGCAATTTTGTCCACTCTCATCAAGTCAATAAACATGAGGGAGGCATGCTGTTTGCCTAATGGGGGACAAAGATGGAACCCCTCCAAATAAGACTCCAATGACTCTTATTTTCTTTTGAAATAAAAAGAAATTGAGGCTTTATTTCCTGTCTTTTAAGTTTGTTTGTTTATTTATATGCCTCCTTTGTTGTTTATTTTGATTCATCTTGAAACAGAGTCAAGACAAGGTTGCCATTTCCAGGGCACTGAAGGGCCATCCTGGCAAGGACACAGGCAGTAACACACTATCAAACCCATCATCCCCAGCTGTGTCGGACTTGCACATCTGGACTGATTTTATGTCCGCTACTGGCCAAGAATCTCCTCCTGAGGGGACTATTGCCTGAGGAAGGTGCTACAAATGGCACCTTTGCCAAAATCAGGAACCCTCCAGAGGTGTCAGAATGAGGGGATCCTGGGATCCGCCATGGGGGGGGGAAGAATCCCTTTCTGAGCGACCCCCACTCTCAATAGAGGGAAATGCCGCCCTTTTCTTTTTTTTTGCCTCATGGGATTACAGAAGCCTCCCCTGAAGGAAGCTTCCAGACCTTCTAGAAGCTTCCCGCGCGGAGATTCGGGAACGGGGAGCTTCCCGCGCGGCGCGAGCTGAGGAGGGGGCCGAGCGAGCCCTGATTGGCTGAGAGGGTCTATAAAAGCCGGCGCTCACCTCGGGAAAAGCGCCTTTGGCGTGCACCAAAAGGAGCGAAGTCTTCCCGCAGCCTCCGTCGCCCACTACCACCGCCTTCAGCTCAGTCTTCGAGCCCTTCCTCGGCTCGCTGGCTTCCCGGCTGCCGGGTCCCGAGCTGTTCCTCTCGGCCATGAACTATCGCTGCTGCCGCTGCCTCGAAAAGACCCGCTCCTCGGGCGAGAGTGGAAGAGAGGCGGCGGAGGCCTCGCCTCCTTCCTCCTCGCTGCGGCTTCGGAAGGCGGCGAGTCTCCGCCGCCAGTTCCCCTATAAAGCAGCGAGGGAGGGTCGAAGCCGCCTTGGCCCCTCTGCATCGACCCAACCCGGGGCATGAAAGGAGCTTTTTTTCCCCCGACTGGCCGCTTGGATACCCCAACGCGGGTTCTCTTTGCCCGGGTTGGGTGCAGGATGGTTCATTTTAGAGCCAGTTTGTGGTTCAGGTGCTGCCTTAGAAAGCAGGAGGGTGAGAGTTCTAGTTCTTCAGGCAGGAAAACCAGCCCAGCCCACCTTGCAGGATTGTTGTGGGGAAAATAGGGATCATTAAACATGATGGTCGCCTTGGATTACTTACCAAGCAATGAGAAAAATCTAAAATGAGGTTAAGCGTAGGGGGGGGTTCTTCAGCTGGACACCGTCTAAATTATGTCATCCCCAAAGAAGTTGCACAAGTTTTGGCCCCTGTACACCACCACTGTATTGCATTATATCATGGCCAGCTAGTTGGGGCTAATGGGCATTGTAATCCTGGCTTGGAGAACACAGCCCCAATTAGGTTGACATGACACTCAATTACAGGTAGTCCTCAACTTACAACTACAGCCAAGCCCAAAATTTCTGTTGCTAGGTGACACTTGAGTTTTGCCCCATTTCACAACTTGCCATACTTGTTAAGTGACTGCAGTTAGTAACAGTTCTTCAGTGAATCTGGCTTCCCCATTGACTTCGCCTGTCACAAAAGGTGATTAACGTGACCCTAGGAAACTGCAACTGTCATAAATATGAGTCAGTTGTCAAGCAGCTGAATTTTGATCACATGACCATGGGATGTGTCAAGTTTCGAGGTCGTCTCAAATAAATTGCGTTCAAGCTGCATTTACTGTAGTGCTGACAGGATGCTGGAACAGTTAAGTGTGGAAAAAATGATCACAGGACACTTCTCAGTGCCATTGTAACTTTAAAAGTCACTAAGTGAACTTGTCAATTGTGCCTATGGAGGTTTCCAGCGTCAACTTCACTTTGTCCTGATGGATCCCAAGCCAAGTTTAAGGCTGCTTTTATAAACGCAACAAACTGCCTTAGAAGCCCTTTATGCAAAAAATAAATAAATTGAGGTTTCCATAATGACTAAGATCTTGTTGCTGCAACACTTTTGGTTCATCATCTGGGGTACTTTATTCTTTCCAGGAAGTCGTTTCTTGCTTCTTTCCATTAAGATATGCAAAATACAGGATGGTCTTTGGGTTTTAAATAGGATTTGGAGTACTGTACAGTGCAAGCATCTTGTGCATGTAAAGGATGCTCCCTATATTTGTATTCTTCCTCCAATCAGTTTAAAGATAGTGCATGTGGTCTATTTTTTGGCACACATACAGGAGGGAGGAAGTATCTGTGAATCTTTAGCCTGCCTTTTGAAGTCTCACTTTGGGATTAAGAAATAAACACCCACGCTAAAAAGTATTACAGTACAGACGGCAAAGTCATTTTCAGCAAATACCGTTTTATTTTTATCTCGCACCATTTGTGCTTATGGTATTTCAACACACATTTTACATTTATAAGTACAAGTGTAGTGAGTTGGCTCTGCAGATAAATTGGGAGCTGTGTCCCACTCTCCAGTTTAGCAGTTCTAAACATTTTTTTTAAAGCTCTCAACAGGTGGCAGCACCTTGCCTGGCAACATCCATGGATGTTGGCTTGGATGTCCATGAAGTCACTATTAACAGGCGGCCATTTTTCTTCCTGTAGCTACTTTGTGTCACCACTAGATGGCACTCTAGGCCTAAAAAAAACACCACCCATGGAAGTTTGCTGTGACAGTAAACGGAAGGGGAAATTGCTACCAGTCCAAAAAGCAAAAAGGCGGATGGCGGAGGAAGATGTCAGCTGACCCGAAAGCACAAGCAAGCAATGTCTTCTCTTCCACAGGGCTTTGAAAGAGCCTCGCCGAGAAAATCACTTCTGAAACCTGGGTAATTTCGCAAAGCTTGAAATATTTATGAAAAATCCATTCAGCTCATTGCACACTAGTTACAATTGGAGGTGGGATCAAGTTCATGGAAAACAAAAGGCAGAAGTAACTTCTGACTGGTATTTACCATTGTAGATGCAATGCTTGTAACTGACTTTTCTTGAAAAAATATTACAAGTCACTGTATTTTAATCGCATTTTTTTCCTTTCTGGGATTGGGAACATTATGTTCTGTGCCTTTGTTTTATCTGCATAATTATCTTGTGTGCTAAGCTAACTTCTGGTTCTTAAATGCTGCCTTTGTTTCCTATCCTCTTCCTAAAAGGAAGCTAGGGCGTAGTTTTGCATTATTTTTAAATAATTAGTGCAGTATACATTTCTGGCATTCATTTATAGTTCGACTACTAATTACAAAACCTCTCAGCCATGAGCATGCCAGTTTTGTACTCTACTGGTGGGTGGGTGGAGTTCTACTATATGTGTAATATACAACTTGTCCACTCCGTAGTAAACACGGAAACGGGAACAAACCATATATCCTGTAAAATGAGAAACATACTTCCTCTTTCTCTAAGCCTAGCATGAGTTAGCACTGCAACTAATAGCAAAACTGCCCTCTTTTAACTATGTTTTACATTCTCCCTTTAATTTAGCATCCTCAAAAACATGATATTGGCTGAAGTCAATTTACAGAAACAGTAAGTACAATAAACCTTATTTTTGTATAAATTGGCTCACATGGTGTTGCAAGGTTTCATTGCTCTACCTTCCAGGTTTCATGTTACAGCATTATCTGTTTCCTCTATTGCATGCTGACATTTGTTCAAAATGTGTAACCCAGTGAACTGAAGTATGCCCAAAAATGACGGAGACTAGTGATGGCAGTACTCTAATCTAGCACTGTAGCTTTGAAGCATTTATGGAGCTGCTGCTTGAATACGCTTTTATCTGGGAAAACATTGAAATAAACACAAGACTAATCGCTTATTTAACACTTGCTAGCAATTCACTCAAGAAGACCAGACAAAAAGTTCCTTTTTTAAGTTGAAAAAAAAAAAGGTCTAAATTAAAGATGTGTTCAAATATTAAGCAAGCTTAGGGAAATTTGCAAACATTAACAAACGTATGACACTTTAACCAGGTCACTTAGACCTAGAAGCATTTGCACAACATTCCAAGCTTGCTTAGTGATTACAGGTTAAGCCATAAAGAACAAGGTTTTGCTCATTCAAATCATTTATTTTATTATTCATTGTATTACATGAATCAAAAAAATAGGTGCATTCAGTAATCAAGTGTCTTAAGCAAATCTAGCCTTCAGTGGCCATCATGTAGATTTGTCATTTTCAGTGGCCAAGGCCAATGTCCTTGAATATTCTACTAATAGCCAATAATCCTATTGAGAGCCCATCCACACTATTTGAGAGAGATTCGCACTGCTAGCGGCTGCATTTTGAATACTTGAAAATAACCATTTTACCAGAGCAGTCAGTAGGTGGATTGAACTTCAGTTTGTTCCATGAACTGAATGAGTTTATTTTGGCCCAGCAAAGATTTCTAAATTTACACATCATATCGATCCAGGTTTGATTTTAGCTTAGCGTGTGATTTAAAACTTCGCACAATGGGAAGCCAACTATGGTTTTCCCATAAAACTCAAACTCAATTTCTACTAAAAGTGATACACTAGAATTCAGCCCTGAAACCACACATGCACAAAATACACCACACGTCATTTTCAATACTATCCAGAGCACATGTCATCCAGCTATTTGAAGGCATAATAAAATGAAGCTATCATTGCCCGTCATAAAGTAGAAGCAGAGTCTCAAGCTCCTCGTGTTTAAGCAACTTGAATTATGCTACTTCCTCAACCGTCTCTTAGTGTTGGCAAGACAAACATAACTAAAGCTGGCCTTTTGAGGAAGAGCATAGTCTGCTTCGGGACTTGATGTTTTGCAGTCTGACTTTACAGAACTTTAACCAGTAGGCTCGTATTTATGCAAACTGTCCAGGAGGCCATTAGGAGTGGCATTAATCACCAAGGCAATTATTCAAACGTAATGTGATCCAAATGGCACTTGCTGTTCTCAGATTACCTTTGCCACTAATATACCAACTGGAAGCACTCTGGAGGATGGACAAACAATTTTATTTTGTCTAACAATTTGCCAGAAACATACAATTAAAGAATTGGCTGACTCTTATTGGGATAATGTTATGTCTGTGTGCTACTGCTTAGGCTTATCAAAGCTACCAAATTTAGCAACATTACCAAAGCTAAACGCAGTCCTTTTGCCAAGCTCTAACAATGCCTTATTCCTTGTCCAAATCCTCAGTAGGGTTTCCACACAAACAGTTCCTGGGTTAGATTGCCCAGGGTTGCCTAGTCCGGCATCGGGCACTTGAGAGCAGTTCAGAAAAGGAGGTGAAATACAGGCCAGTGCATCCTAGCAACTGCTCCTTAATAGGATACGATGACAAGATCTGCACCTCAGCCACGATTGGCCGAACGAGCCACAGCAGATCAGACTGATATATAATATTTAATCAAGACCAGACTGATCAAATTATGGCATAGCACAATATGTGAACAAGACTGGGTTCAAATAACACATTAACCTTGCTTTTCTACGGCCTGCTGAATAGACAACTGGCTGCATATACAAGACAAGACAAACTGACTTGCACACCGCCCAGCAGTGGCTTCGTAAACACCGTTAAGACCGAAACTGAGCCAATCACATGATGAATGTGGAGATTCTATTTTGCTCCTTATGGCCAAGAGCAGCTTAACCTTACTCCATAGAGTATCCTTCTTTTACATAAGCTCCTACCGCATTCCTCCATTTCTCTTCCCTACCATATGCGTTCACACTAGGAAGATTGGAAGCCAATCCTGTTGTTGTTGTTGTTTGCTTAATCTCTTTCTGCCGCTTGAAGGTCCCCTTATAACTGCCTAAACAGCCCCCTTCAGCCACTTTCTTCCTCTGCTGGAGAAAGGTTTAAAGTTTAAAGGGAAAAAAAGCATTCAACTAGACCTTGCTCGGGACAAAGAGCCATTCAGAAAGTGCAAACATTTCATAAAACTGCCCCTCTGTACTCAGTCTTCTGGCTCACAAAAATGGGTGGAGTCTTGGCTGTCTAAATATACAACAAAACAGGAAGCGGGCCAGGAGGCTTGCTTGTAAGAACTTGCTCTCACACAGCTTATCCCCCAATGTTTGCGTGAAATTAGTTCGGATTTGCACGCTGGCCTCAATTCAGACTTTTTCTCGTCCTACACATTGAACCATTTGGTCTAGAAAAACATAGAATTTCTACCTCTAAACTAATTTAACTTGGAAATGTTTAGAAACACTGGGAATGATGTGCATTTTTGCACATCAAGCCTTCTCCAAGGACAGTTCAAAAGGACTGAAGTGAAACACCCTTGAAACTGACATACATTGAAATATCACTGCTTATTGGGTAAACTGATAAAACAGGCAAACCATTTCTCCACAAATTCAGTGCAAATCACCCTCAAGACAATTTAACATAACACAGGTCTTCACTATCTGCATAAATATCCTGAACAAATTCCAAAAGTCTGTTTTGTTCAACCAAAAGACTCAGTCTTAGAGCCTTCGACGCAGCCACTCTGTTGAAATTTTAAAATAAACGGTCTAGTATCAAGAAATCCCAAATTAGGACACAACAATGTAGTACTTAATCTAAGCACTTCAGTCAAGGAGGAAGACCAGGCATTCCATTGTGTCTAAGTCAGTATCACAACTATTCACGCAAGCTGCAAACATTTTAGTTTATATCTTACCTCAGCCTTGAAATCATGGGATTAAGTTCTACATAAAATTCTCTATGTATTCCAGCCTTGCCTTCACACCTATCTACAGCATGGGGGAAAAAACCTATGCAACTGTATGTAGAACAATGGTAAAGGAAATATATGCGGATTGCTTGGAAAACCTGCAATACTCTAGCCCAGTTGCAAAAGACGTGGAAGCTAAATAGTAGCCATTGCACAGTGACCTACATTAGGCTCAGTGCGATGGGAAGGGAAGGGAAAACGCAAGGAAGATGCACAAAGATCTGGGCTGCAGGATCAAGCTTGTACTGGGCTGCTGCTGGTGCCTGGCTCCGACTCATCTGAAAGGAATTTGAGAAGCCATCGGCTGCCACGTCTCTGCTAGCACACACCAGCAATCTTGGGGCAGATGCCTTCTTAAACCAGCATCTGGGGACTGGGCTCGCTGTTCTCACTCCCAGCAAGTAGGTCACCTACTGAGGGAGAGGAAATGGTAAATCGGTAGAAGATGCACGCAACCACACTCCCAGTAGGATTGTTCACATGGAAATAACAATGCGCCAGGATGCCTCCTTGCTCAGCCTGGTGGCAGAAATTAAAGCCAGTTCTCCCAACCCCACTTTAAAGGCCGCCAAGTGTACAATGTCAGACTCTGAAGCAGTTGGCATAATTCACCAGGATTATGTCCCACTTGTATGCTTTCGACTTAAGCAATCGCTTTACCTTCTCTCTTCCCACAAAGGCCTGAAGGATGACGTGGCTTAATGTTTAACAGGCAGGCAGAGTCCGTTCCTCAGAGCTGTTGCTTAAAAACTGGTTTAACCGCTTGAGCAAATCTCCCGGTAGAGGTGGTAAAATGGCATCCGAGAGGCAACACCCAGGGCCTCCCTCTGAATATTTGAGCAGCAGCAGCAGGAGGGATGTGGAAGAGAAACGCTTCAACCCTCACCCCTCCCGAGAGATTGATAGGGAAGAGAAAGGTCAGATGGATTTACGCTTGCCGATCCATGCCTACTTTGCCACTCCGGCTGCTCTGAGGAGAGCTAATCTTTTTCTAAGCCCCAAACCAGAGCTGGTGGCTCCTCTACTCATTTCTGCATCGATTAAAAAAACAAAAAGATCCTGGCCGAGCCTGCGGAAAAAGCTGCATGGAAGAGTCTGGCGTGAAGTCAAGGCCCGAGGCGTCGCCCTTGCTCTTTCAAAAATATGCCCCCATGTGGGAGCAACCGAGCGCAGTGAAGCAACCCTGGGATCCACTGCTGGAGAGAGAGCCATCTTGGCTGGAGGAAAGAGAAGGGAGAGCCCGAGTGGCTCTCCTGTCCTTACTCTGGATCTTGGCCCTACAAACCAAGGGAAGCAAGCGGCTTCAACCGGGCTACGCCTGGCACAGCCTCCCCACTGCCAAGTGGGCAGATGCCAACAGGAAGAAGCTCGGTCTGGTCTGACAAGAAGGCACGGCTCCCTTCGCTGCTGCTGCTGCTGCAGCAGCTGCTGTTCCTCCTCCTCCTGCTTCTCCAACATGGCTGAGCTCACCCTTCCTAGGGGTCAGGGCTGGGGGAGGAGAGGCTGAGCAATGCCGCCAACACCCAGCTTGAAGCTTCCAGGGCAGGAGCTCAGGGCAAGTCCTCCCCACCCCTTGCCCATCCGCCTGCAGAAGCAGCAGCAGAGGAAGGCAGGCAGGCAGGCAGCGCCGCCATGTCTAAGCAACCCTCTCCCTCTGCTGCAAACAGTGGGGGAGAGGCTGCCTGCCCCAACCATCCCATGGAGCTGCTGCTGCTGCTGGAGAGACCTAGAAGGGCACAGCCTGCTGCCTTAAGAGCCCTGGGAGCGCTCAGCAGAAGAGGAGGCAGGGCTGGAGCCCAGCCAGGACTTGCTGGCTTGCTGCAAAACGGCCACCATCTTTCCCGGTCCCTCCCTTGCAAGACAGCGAGGAGAAGGCGAGGCATCTCGGCTTCCTCTCCGCTCCGTCCGAGGGGAGAGGCAGGGCCCCAGCCAGGGGGCTGTCCTGGGACCAAAGAAAGCCTCTCGGAGCAGCTCCTGCAAGGCGGAAAAGGAGAGAGAGCAAACAAAGAGTCCCACTGGGAGCCAGCCTTGCACACGGTCCCCCCCACGCCAGGCACGGCTCCAGCCTGCCCGCCTCTGAACAGAGAACCGGCCAAACTCCATTTTGCTTCCCTTCCTCACACCCTGGACTGTGTTGTGGGGGACAGCTGAGCAATGCCAACTCGCTTCCATTGCTGGCTCTCTTGCTTAGAAAAGGAAAAGCATTCAGCAAAACAACAAAGAAACAAAAAGCCTTTCTAAGGACTGCAGGAAGCCAACCTCTCTCTCTCTCCGCTTGTCTTTGCTTGCAATAAGGAAAAAAACAAAGACACCCCCGCCCTTCTGCCTGATTTTCAAGGGCAGCAGCTTGGCAGCTTCTCTGAAATCCGCCTGGATCCATCGAGCAGCCCCTCCAGCTCAAGCCCAGCGCTTTGTTTGGCCAAGATGGAAGAAAAGGGATCGGATCCTAGCGGTCGATCCCCCCCCTCCAAGCCGCCCAGATCGTTAGCAACATTTCCCCCTCCACCCAACCGAAAGTAGCTTGGATATCCATCCTGGAGGAAGCCCTTTTGTCACAGAGAGAGAGAGAGAGGGGCCTGCTCTCTTCTTCCCCTGCCAGGGTGAAAGCTTTACTTACCCGCACACCATTCCTGATGCAGATCTGGAGGTGAAGTTGGGGGAGGCTGGGGCATATAAAAAGGGCGGAAAAAAGCCCACTATTGCTAAATATTGGTTACATGCTCTCTGATCTGCCGCAAATTTGCAAATCAAATCTCCTCCAGTCATGTCTATGGCTAAAAACAACAGAACCAAACCAAAATAATAAAAAGAAAGGAGGGGAAGGGGGGGGTTAAGACATCTTACGGATTTTGACTGCGGCCAATTTGGGCTGCCTTAAATCGGTACATTTCGCGATTTATGCCGCACCTCGAGACAACGGCGTGGTCTTTTCTTCCCACCCCACCCCACCTTTAAAAAAAAAAAAAAACATCAATTCCTGCCCGATCTGTCCATGTTAGTGTGGCTGCGCCTGATTAAGTTACTGTAGGTCAACATCTCAAGCATCTCTAAGCCTTCAGAAGCAATTGGTTTAGATCAACAAGACAAATATATATAGATATATAGATATATGACATGCAGATGAAGCCTGAAAGAAATAAACCAGGAGAACTGCAGTTAACATTAACATGAAAACTACACTTATTAAGAAGGACAGAATGGATCGGGTACTTACAATGTGAAAGGACAAAAGGAAAGGATCCTGCCTGTTTTGCAAGACTCTCAAACGGTGCCTACCTCTATAGCTTTAACCACGTTACCTTGTTAGCAAGGAAGGATTTAAACTTTTTTTAAAAGATGGCCAGGTTACTTTTTTTTTTTTTTTAAAGTGTTTCGGACTGATCTCGAAATGTACACTTCAGGCGAGAGAGAGAGAGAGAGAGAAGCCAGCGCTTTCCAAAAAAAAAGATCAAAAGACGCGTGTGATTGACTTTGTTTGGTCATGCAAAACTGGGACTTGCTGGCGTTAAGGGCGTGCCATGACCTAGTTAAGACACGAGAGCAAGACGGGCTCCGAGTCAAGACGGGGAAAGGCAAAAAAACAAAAAACAACAAATCCGGCTTTTTATCACGTCTTCCTCCTTCCTCGGGGGTCCTTCTAAAAGGCGGCCAGGCATTACACCGCGAGCGGGGAAGCGCTCCTGCCCCGGCCCGCCCGCGAACAAAGGCAAACCCAGCTGGCCACTTTTCATCCCCTTTTCATTTTTGCAGGAAAAACATGGCCGAGCGCGCGCGCGCCCGCCCTCCCCGTTCCTCTCCGGCCGCCTCTCCTCGGCCGTCTGCGGGGCTCGCCTCGCGCGCCGCCTCTAATAACGCCAGCCCGATGCAAGCGGCGCCCCGATTGGCTGAGCCCGCCCGGGGGCCCTCCGACCAGCCAATTGCCACGCCGAGGCTCCCCGTTACCCGCCCCCCCCCAAAAAACCCCCCCCCCGTGACCAACCCGCCCCCGAGCCCGACAAAGCCGCCCTGGGAAGGCGAGGGGAGGGAAGGGGGGCGAGGGCCGGCTTGGAAGGCAGAATGGAAGCCGCCTCCTGATTGGCTGGCCGGGCGCCTTTCATCAGCTCCCCTCCCCTCCCTGCCTCGAATCGTAAAATTGACACATTGTAACAAAACGGGGGCGCCCCCTTCTTCTTCTTCCTACCCCGCCCGACGGGGAAGGGGAGGGAAGGGGCCGCTGAGCGCCGCGGGTCCCTGCCAAGCTTGGAGAGGGGGGGGACTCCCCCAGTTTCAAATGTGTCCCCCCACCCTCCAGCAGCCCCCCACACAAGCCTTAACACAGTCTCAGCCTCTCACCCCCCCCCGCTCCCAGCCATTTCTCCCCCCCCTCTTCTCGCAGCCCCTCTCTTTTTCTCGCTCGCCCACCCACCCACCACCACCACCATCATCCCCGGTGGGTCTTGTCCGGCCCCGCTTCCCCTCCTTTAGGTAAAGCTAGTCGGCAGATTCCACGCGGGCGCGGGGCGGGCGGGGGTCCGGTGGGGAGGGGGGGTCCGGCGGGGGGGAAAGCCCGGGCCTTGATGGGCGGGGCGGGGCGCGCGGGGGCGGCGGGGCCGGGGGGGGCTGCGCGGCGCGGCGCAGCTGCCGTGAATGTGCCTTCGGCGGAGGGCGGTTAGCCATTCGCCCAGCTCCCTGGCGGAGAATTGTGGGATGCCTGAGCAGCCGCCGAAGGAAGGAGGCAGGCGGGCAGCGCGCACACACAATATGTGCTGGCTCGCCAAGCGGAGGAAAAGCGCCCAGGCGGCAGGAGGCGCCCCGGCCCCGCGGAAGGGAGCCCGCGGCCCCGTCTGAAGGAGGAGGAGGAGGAGGAGGAGGAGCGGCGGCGGCCGAGGCCGAGGAGGAGGAGGAGGCGGCGGCGGCGGAGGCGGCGGCCTCTCCCGGCCCACGGACGGACGGACGATCGGCCCGGCGGACAATGTCTTTCAAAGAGAGCAAGGCGGCGGCGGCGGCGGCGGCGGACCGAGCCAAGCCGAGCGAGGAGCCGGTCCGCAAACTGAGTTCAAGTGAGCGCCGCTGCCCCTGCCTGCCTTCCTTCCTTCCCCCCGGTGGCTCCGATGGGGCAGCAATAGCAGCAGCAGCAGCAACGGCGCCGCTTCCCCCTCCCGGTGGCTGGCCGGGGCTGCGAGGCGGAGGGGGCCCTGGCTCCTTTCCTCCTCCTCCTCCTCTTCCTCCTCCTGCCCTCTTTCCTCCCTCTTTCTCCTTCTCTCCTTTCCCCCCCTCCACCCCCTTTCTAACTCCGGGGCTTCAACCTCCCTCCCTCTCCCCCCCTCCCCAGGTTGGATCAACGGCATGGAGAGCGGCCCGGCGGGTCCCTCGGCCGAGAAGAAAAATCACCACTGGAAAAGTTACAAGTTGATTATTGACCCGGCGCTGAAGAAAGGCCAGCACAAACTCTACCGCTACGATGGGCAGCACTTCAGCATTCCTGTAAGGGGGGGGGTCCCCAGGGGGGAAGGGAGGAAAAGAGAAAAAGAGAAAAGAAAGCTTCCCTTGCATGCATGCATGTCTTCTCCCCCCCCCTTTCTCTTCCACCCCCCCAAAATCACCTCGAAAACCTGATCCTCTTTCTAGGGAAGTGCAGAGAGCTTTCTTGATGTCCTGGGGGAGAAAAAGCTTGCTAGGAAACAACCAGCAAAGATACTGAAGTTACACCCCCTGACCTAATGCAGCCTGTCAGGAAAAAGAAAAGGCTGCAGCTTTCTTTTGCAGCTCCTTCATCTCCGGTGGCATTTAAAGCCCCCCCCCCCCCTTTAAAAAAAAAAAATAAGCCTGTCCTTTGGCTTCCTTGCTTTGCAATTCTGCAGGGTAAAGTTTTTTTGCCCTGCTGGCAAAGATGGAATGGCTACCTGCTGACTCTTCAGGAGGGGAGTGACATCCCCTTGCTGCTTTTCCATTGATTTTTTTTTTAAATTATTCTTTTTTTGCAGAATCCCAGTCTGGCCCCCGTGGAGTGCGTGGAGGACCCCAGGATAGGACGCATCTGGACCAAAACGAAAGAACTGGAACTCTCCGTCCCAAAATTTAAGGTAGAGAGGGGGGGCTGAGCGGGACTTTGGTGGTAGTGCTGGTGCTCCTGTCGGCTTGAAGTCTCTTTGGGCTTTCTTGTTTGTTGAGCAATTAGTGTAGCAATGCCGTAGCCAAAGACAGCCAGGTGAAGAAGTTGAGCTGCTGTTTGTCAAAAGTTGGCTGGATTGAGGCAGACGAGCTGCTTTCCCGATTGTCAGTTGTTGTGTAAACAAGGCATGGCCAAGGAGGTAGCAACCTGGGAGTTTTCATTGAGCCGCTAGCATAAGAGGAGGGAGAAGGCTCTCCCATTGAGCAGAAGCATTTCAAACTTTCATTTCACTCTCCCTTTCAAGAGAAGCGTCTTAAACTTTCATTTTTCCCACCAAACCGTTGACTGACTCCCACCCCTGGTTTTTTTTCCCCCTCCCTCCCTCTTCCTCCCTTCCTTCCTCCCCCCCCTTCCCTCGTGTTCCGGGCTCTGCTTCCTCCCCCACCCTCATGAACTAACCCTCCAGATTGATGAGTTTTACGTGGGGCCTGTGCCCCCCAAGCAAGTCACTTTCGCCAAGCTGAACGACAACATCCGTGAAAACTTCCTGACCGACATGTGCAAAAAATACGGCGAGGTGGAAGAAGTGGAGATTTTGTACAACCCCAAGAACAGGAAGCACCTGGGCATCGCCAAAGTCATCTTTGCCACCGTCAAAGGTGCCCGGGAAGCTGTTCAGCACCTGCACAACACTTCCGTCATGGGGAATATCATCCACGTGCAGCTGGATACAAAAGGTGGGGGACCCCCTTGGATGCAGTTTTTCCTCCATCTTGCTCTGTTTTCTTTCCTTACCTTTTGCTCCGATCCTGGAGGGGGGGGCGTTCATTTGCAGATCTCGGGGAGGGCTGTTAGTTAATTAAAAGGGGGAGACTGTTAAATGGCTGTCACTCCCTCCCTCTCTCTCTCTCTCACACACACACATACACACACCCCTGTGTCTCCTTGCTTTTCTGGGCTTTCGGTTGTCACGTGGAGTTGAATGTGTTGTCGGTTGCTAAGAGACAGGCCTGTAATTTAGCAAATGCTGCCATTCGCTCACTTTCACTCATTCACTCCCTCACTCTTGCTGACCCATCACTTGCCAAGCTGCCCTCTCCTCACCCTTTCCTTGTACCTCTTGGCCCAAAGTATGCTTTGCCCTTAAAAGATGGTGGGGGGTGGGTGGAAGAATTCCCTTTAGAAAAATGTCTGAGAAAATAATCTGGAAGGTTTATCCCCTGCAAGGGGGATTACAGCAGAGCCCTTCCTTTTATCTTGTCCCTTTACTGTGGAAATCAATATATTCTTAAAGGGGACTGCAAAAATCTTTCTTGCCTTGTCTCTTAAAGAGACAGTATACTCTTATTCCTTCCGAGTTGAGAGTCTGGCGTACTGGCCCTGCTGAGCATAAGCAAAGCAACTAAGGATGAATGGAATGATGTATATAATTCCTAAATGGATAAGAAATAGGGTTTTTTTTCTTGCTATTTTTTTTTCCTCCTCTTCTTTGTGGCCTGCAGCAAAGAAACATACTTCAGTCATTCAGACTGATTTGTTACTTTAATATATAACATGTAACTTGTTTTTTCGAGAACCAGGAGAATCCCTTTAAAAAGAAGGGGGGAATGTTACATTTTGGAGCAAAAAGGCTTGAAAAGCCTATGTAAACAAAGACATTATTTTTGTATATTGAAATTCTTTTATTTTTAAAAGCGTTTGTGCTAAAGTTTCAAACTGCGTGTTGTTTTCAGTGCTAAATGCTGGAACACCACTTTGATCCAGTTCACTGAATTTCAGCGGAAGTAAAACATTTTTTCACCCGTGTTGTGACCAGAGGATTCAGACATGCATATTAGAAAAAAATGGATTGATCAATGAAGAGGAAATATAGGTCAGGCAGACGGCTTTGCTATTCAGTGTACTTTCCACATTATTTTGAGGCACCATTGCATTAATTCTGCCTAGTGACATATAATCAATAAACGATATCGCCATCTGTGATTTCAGCTTTGCCCTGAGTACTTTGTGAAACATCAGTTGAGCTTTTAATATTTTCAGTTCAGCCCAATCCTAACTTTATTAGTTTGGAGTAATTCCAGTGAGTTAAACAACATTTACTTACGAGCGATTGTAGCCTGAAGTCTTTCTGGCTTTAAATGAAAACAATGTGAAATCTTCATAATTCTTACTTAATTGCTTGAAACTTCAGGCTGGTATTGTATGAAAACTTAACATTAGTATTTTGCACGCGTTTTGACCGCTTATTGCTAATAAAAATGAAGTTATAGGTTTCTGTATAAATACTAGCCTTTGAAATAATTGTTTCCTCTTTGGATTCTGACATATCCAATACTTTTTAGTTAATTATGTCACGTTCAGTGTTAAAGAGAGTGCATAATGCTTAAATGTTGGCCTCTGAAGACTATAACTCCAGAGATCTTAAAAGTGTTGTAACTTTAACTGTGAGTCATTTAAGGTGAAACTTGTATGATAGTGTATAGTAAGAGTGTGGCTGTTGCTAATACTGAGATAATAAGGCCTATCTAGTGATACCTTGATTTTTTTTGTGTGTGTAACTGAGACAGTAACCTGCCCTTTCAAATTACACAGTCTTGTCTCATAATTGAGTGTGATAATCGGGGGCTGAGGCTAAGAGCTACTGGTGCTCCCAGAAGACTTCAGTTTAGTCAAGAGTTCAGTAGGTAATGGCTTTTCAGTCCCTCAGCCTGTGTGATGGGCTTCTCCTGCAAGAATTCTGATCAGATTAACTAAGATAGACATGCTAAATACATGCAACTTCACACAACTGCATTGGGATTGCAAGAACAAGAGCAAGACTAATTAGTTGCCCCTTTGGAGAAGTTCAGAAGCAAGAGATGGAAGCAGATATGAAGCTTCTGATTATTCCCCGAGTCTCTTCTCTCCTCATAACTCTTCTTCTCTCCCTGTTCTCCACAATTGACATTCAGGAACTGCTAGATCTGAACATAGGGGTAGTTCACAGCCATTAAATTAAGATAACTTCCTTCTCCGTGGACAGAGGAACCATTGTGCCATTAGATGGTGACTTGTAAAGTCATTTTTACCATTTAGACACCTGGAAGTGAGATAACCCCCCCTCTCTTCTTGATTTTCATGCAGACAGAGGTCACTAATGGACAACCCCGAAGTCCAGAAGAGAGATCCATTGCTTCCTCTACTTAAAGGCCAAAGTGAGGGTTCTAGGTCATTCTAGACATTGGCCCATCGGTCTTCTTTAACAGTGATTTTGTTACCTCTCCAGGTGAGAAGCGCATGCATTTTTATGAGCTCCTTGTGAACGGGCTCTACACTCCGCAGACTTTGCCAGTGGAGACTGAACAAGACGCGTCCCCCACCCTCAGTGAGACCCTGCAGGTATGTTTGGAACTTGGTTTATTTTAAGTGATGCTCCAGGCTTGGCACCCGGGCTAAGAAGAGCTTTGTGGATAGGAAACTATGATTTGGATATACTGGACTGTCTGCCTGACCCAAGAAGAACGTGACTGAGATTGATGTCACATTAGTTCTGGTTTTCCCTTTGGCAGTCAAACTTTGGAATAGACCCCAATCATGGCTGGGAAATTCTGGACATTGAAGTCCAACACATCTTAAAGGGGCCACATTTGACATTGAATTAGAGTATATATTTCATTCCCTAACAAAATTCATTGTATTTTATTTAGTCCATTTCTCTATATCTGTCCCTCTCAGTCCAGTTGACTCTCAAAATAACCGGAATAGCCTTGTACGTTTCATGTGAACTTAACCATTTATATGACTGACTTGTCAAAATCATCTTGAAAGTTGCTGAGTTTCTTCTGAGCTCCTATTGCGGTCAACAGATAGTAGTCAGTAGACTTCCTGACAGTGTGATGTGTTCCTGATGTCCATTTCTTGTGGTTTCTATATCTGGCCAGTTGACCACGATAAAACTGGATTTTGACTGCTTATCTTAGAAATCTGCTTCCGGGTGATTGAAGCAGGGACCTTTGATGGAAACCACAAACTTTGATTTTACTCTGTGCCCAGGTTGAAACAAAGCTTCATCCAAGTTAGGTGGGCGAAGACCTACATTTCCACATTTTTAACCGATTTCAATTGAAATTGGTTTGTGAGAGCCGCTTTAAGAAGTCACCTAGTCCAGTTTTGAAGTCTGAGCAGGAGAGGGAGAGCTGTCTTGAAGGAGTGTTAATAATTGAAGTTTGACCCTAGACATTTGGACAAGGGATGTAAAGAACGCTAGTTGTTTGGCAGTTGCAAAACACCACAACCAGATGCTAACAAAACAAAAATAGGTGTTTACTGGAGGTGTCACTTGCTTTTTTTAAAAAAAGAAAATCAGGATTCCTTATTCCATCGGCCGCTAACCCTTTGTAAGTCATTTAGACTGAACTGGTGTTTAATTAAGTATAACGAGCTTCCATCCATTGTGAGAGTTCACTTTTGACAAGCAAGAATTCAAATGAATATTTTAAAACTATCCATGTTCAGGATAGGTTTCCTGGGAAGCCAGCTCCCTCCTTGATGGAAACACCTGTTGCGTAGAATTTTAAATGCCTCTCTTCAGCTCCGCCTTCCCTTTTTTTTTTTCAATCTTCAATCTCCAATTGCTTAAATGGCATAATTTTATTCGATCAGGCCAGTGTACGCAAAAAGGCAGCAGTTGGTTTGGGACGATGCCCTTTATCTCTTCGTTTCCGGCTGCCTTTTGGAAGTTTGATTTAAAAAAAAAAAAAGCTGTGAAACTGAACTCCGTTGAGCAACTTCTGCATGTGGTTCCCCTTGTTTGAAGCATTATCTCTTCTTGGGATACAGAACCACCGACTTTGGCGGATGTTTTTTTAAAAAAATACATCAGTGTTTCTTCTACAGGCATCCTTCAGAATTGTAGAGGAAACATTGTGTTATTTTTTTTAAACCTGTTACAGTTGCCCAACTCTCTTCCTTTTCCCTCAGCTTCCTGTTTGTAGAGTTTAATTGATCCAGAATTAAGAATGACATTTCACGTTCCTGATGCTTAGCTCTCGGAATCCAGTCTGATCAAGCATCTCCCCCTGGGTTTTCTTACAAAGCAAAGGAATTTCAGAGCGATCTTTCTCGCCAGGCTTTATAAAAATCCTTCCGTTGAACAGCCAGGTTCAGGGGCACTTAATGGTGGGAAATAATACTAAGACCTTTTCCTGGACCCCACAGGTACTTGGGGCTCTGTTTCTTTATAGCGTTCGGTTTTATTGATCGTGACCTTGTGGTTACCCATTTATTTATTTCAATATATATGGCTGCCCATCTCAACGTTTTAGTTTCAAGACTGATTCCTGCTGCCACTGAATGAGACATATGTAGATTGTATATAAGGGGTTGATTGTGTGTGTGTGTATATATACTGGTAGTTCTTGACTTATGACTGTTTGTTTAATGACAGTTCAAAGTTACAATAGACTTGGAAAAAATAAGAAATGAGCTATATTTATAACTGTTGCATGTTATCACAATATGGGCACTCGACAACTTTGCACACTTACCACCATTTGCAACATTATTTGCCAATTTTTCCACTTAAAAAACCCTGTCCCATTGAGGAAGCTGTATTCCATGTGGTTCGCTTAACACCCAGCGTAAAAATTGTAAAACCCGCTCCAATTCAAACTTACGAGAGAAATTCCAGGCCTGTTGGTGGTAGTAAATCCAGTATGTAAATCCATATATTTTGTGCAATGCTTAACATCCGTCTCATTTTGAAAGTTTCCTTTTTATTTCGCTCCGCACTTCAGACTCCCGAAACCGCTGAAGATGTCAGAGTAAATTTTAATTGACAGCAATCATTGGTGGCTGCTCTTCTGGTTCTTAACAATCCATATCTGGAGAGATGCCACTGGCCCTGCCGGGTCTTCTCGGTATTTTATTATCGAAGCCCTAGCTTTTTTTTTTTTTTTTTTAAGTGTGTTTAATTCTGCACAGGATTTTTTTTTAAAAAAAAAAGACAGATGAATAGATTAGAGGAAAGAGTGACTTCAGTGTCAGGAACATTTTGTGCCACGGCTGTGTTTCCTTCTCGGCATCTAAGACAAACTTTGTGCAAGTCAGGTGACACCCTCAGTGAGACTTGGCAGTTGCCCATTCAACCAGGGTTAGCAGCTAAGCAAGACCCACAGCTCAATCCCCGCCCAAGGGGAGGAGGGAGCCATGCTATGAGGACATGTATTTTGTTCTTGCTGGCTGGGGAATTCTGGGAGTTGAAATCCTCAAGCCTTAAAAGTTGCCAAGTTTGGAGAGCCCTGTTCTAGTAGGTTTCACCTGTTCTTTACCAGTCTCCCTTGCCTTTTTTTTTTTTTCTGCAGCTGGCCGACACTCTGAAACGGCTCAAGGACAGCGGTCTTTCTTCAGCAGGATCCTCCACCACCCCAAACAGCAGCACCCCATTTTCCCACGACACGGCCTTTTCCAGTTGTCGACAGGACACCCCCAACTCCTACAGCCAGTTCACCCCCCAGTCCCAAGGAACGCCTCTGACCCCACGCCTGGGGACCCCCTTTTCCCAAGACTCCGCCTACTCTAGTCGACAGACCACGCCGGCCTACCATTTCGGACAGGACTCCGGCTACAAACCCCGGAGGCATGAAACAAAATTCACGGATGCTTATAACCGCCGTCTGGGCCACCACTACGTGCATAACTCAGCCGGGACTTTCCGAAGCTCCGAGCATCAGTTCGGCGCCTTCAAGTCCCATCAACCGGAAACAGTGCAATATCCCCAGGCGTCCCCCGTGAGTCACTCAGGTGCTTCGACATACAAATCCGCCTTCTCCCCCTACCAAGCCCCAGCCACGTACTCCCAGCCCGAAGAGCCCCAATTTTCTCAAACGTCCCGGGAAGTGGAATACCGGCGGCCCCCACCCCCACCTCCCGCCGAGGTGACCGTCGAAAGTAGCCCAGCTCCTCCTGCGGAATTTGTTCCTGCAAAGGACAAACCAGAGGAGCCCCCTCCTCTTCCTCCTCCACCGCCCCCGGAGCCCGACAGTCTCAACGAGCCCTCCGTTGGGCCGTCCTTCGGCCAGACTCCAGAAGGGAGCGAGACGCCCGGCACCCCAACTGTAGAATCGGAAAGTCAGCCTAACAGTTTGGACTCCAGGATCGAAATGCTTTTAAAAGAGCAGAGAACAAAACTCTATTTTCTCAATGAGCACGACTCGGACAATGAGATACGAATGGAAGGCAGTCCCATTTCTTCGTCCTCTTCCCAGCTTTCCCCGATCCCGAACTCGCAGCCCAGCTATCGAGCGCAAACCCCTTCCTCGCGTCCTTCCAGCACCGGCTTGGAAGACATTAGCCCGACCCCGTTGCCCGATTCGGATGACGACGAGCCCATCTTCGGGGTAGCTTCCGCCTGCCAGAACTCAAGAGGGGCAGCCGAGGCGAGCGTCACACCTGTGGACCAGCTGAACAGGACCTCCCAATCGGAGCCCTTGGAGACTAAAGAAACGCAGCCGGCTAGCAGCAGCCCTGTGCCGGAAAAAATGGAAGAGGTAAGGGAGCAGATGTGCGGGTAACCCCTGGCTTAGGAGCACAGTAGAGCCCAAAATATCCGTCAGTAAGGGAGACATTGCTTAGGTGAGTTTTGCTTCATTTTTTGACTTTTCTCGCACAGTTGTTAAGTGACTCACGAAAGTTGTAAAGTGAGAAATGTGATTGTTCAGTGAATCTGGCTACCCTATTGACTTTGCTTGTCGGAAGTTCACAAAAGGTCACAAAATCACATGACCCCAGGACACGGTGACTGTCGTACATACGAGTCAGTTGCCACGCGTCCAAATTTTGATCACGAAGTGTGAAAAACTGTTATTAGTTCCTTCTTTCAGGGCCTTGTAACTTCAAAAGGTCACTAAACAAATCGTCGTAAATTGAGAACTTACCTGTATTGGTGGCAGTTGCAGACATTCAACCTTGTCTGAGAAATCCATTGGAATCTGCACCCACGGGGTGCACAGGTATTCTTTGACTTACGATCCATTCAATATAATGACCAAAGTTACAACGATACTGAAAAACTGTATTTACGACCAGTTCTCATATTTGCAACAGAGGGTCCAGTCCGAATTGGGGTTGTAAGTCGAGGATGACCAATGTAGTAAATAAGCATGGATTACGTATCGCTTTGTAACGCACGAGATGTTCGATTGTAAAACAGGATCTTTTATCCTGCTTGAATATCATATCCTTTTGGAAATGATTATAGACGACACCGGAGATTTGCGGGGAGGAGAAGGAAAAAAAAGAATTATTCTGTTTATGCACGAAGACACCGATTTGCTAATATTGGAAATAAAAAAATAATTCCAGCCAATGCTCTCGCTAGCCGTGTGATAGAAATTCCCCTCTCTGTGTCAGCTGGTTGGAGTTTAGCAGAAAGATGCTTCTGTGTTCCGTCCTGCGATGATAAGACTTCCCGCGGGGAGCCCGCATTCATCCCGGGAGTGTGTTAGGATTTTTTTTTAGTCACCTGGGATGCCCGTTTATTGCTGGGAGCAATTGATCCATTGGCCAGGGAATCCTTTTGAATCTTCTCTTGAATGGCTTTTCAAAAGGAGTTCAGCTATTTTTATGAGCGGTTGTATTGTATCGTGATACACATTTTGATTCCAACAAAAATTCAGATAATAGCTAAACATCTGGCTAAACGTCGCTTTAAGAAGAGGGCTTTAATTTTTTGTTTGTTTTATTTGTTTTATTTATAGTATAACATTCAATTTTCATCAGTGTGTGGTCTGGGTACAATTATGCTTAAGTAGTCATAGTACACATCTTCGTTGTAGATCACCGTAATAGTAATAATATAATAACCTAATAATATAATAACAATAACACTTAACATCATCTTATTTAACAACTCTCCGCTTAAACATTGCCTCATTTTATATCTCCTCCTTTCTAACTTCTGTTTCTATTGTCCAGCCGTTGATAAAAAATGTCCCATATCAAAAAATATTCAGTTTCTTCTTTATCCTTAATAGTAAAGCTTTAGTCTATCCATTTCTGCACATTCTAATATTTTCTTAAATTACAATCAAGATCCCTCAGATGGGATCTCCTCATTTTTCCCTTGTTGCGCAAATACAATTCTAGTTGCGGTTAGTATATGCAAGATCAAATATGTAGTCTTTTTAATCATATTTTTCTGGTAGAATGCCCAGCAAGAATATCTCTCGTTTCAGATCTATATGTTCCTTTGTCATTTTTTCTCACCCATGAATGTATTTTTGTCCAATATGAAAGAAAGAAGGCTTTAATTTACTTGAGATATTTACAAATCTTTAGTCAGGTTCAGTCTGCTTGTATTTATACCTCAGCCCTATTGAATGGGATGGGATCTATTCCCAGTGGATCAACCAAGGATCCACTTGCAGGTTCCTTGGATATATAGAAGGATCGTGAAATCCAGCCTCCTCTGTTCTATCCTCTTGTACCATCCTTCCTGTGATTTTCTTAGCATTTTCTCCTGTAATCCTTGGGCCGTCTCGCTTCCATTGGCCAATGACTTTCCCGTTCCAGAATTATACATGTAGTCCTCGACTTAGGACCACCATTGAGCCCCAGATTTCTCATGCTAAGCGAGATATTTGTTAAGTGAGCTTTGCCCAGTTCTGTAACCATTCTTGCCACAGTTGTTAAAAGTGACTCCCTGCGGTTGTTCAGTTCGTAACAAGGTTTGTTAAGTGAACCTGGCTTCCTCGTGGACTTAAGGTCGCAAAAGATAGTGATCACATGACACACACACCCCAGGACACTTCACACCGTCCGTTGCCAAGCATCTGAATTTTGATCACATGACCATGGGGAGGCTTGCAATGGTTGTAAGTGTGAAAAATGATCACAAGTCACTTTTTTTAGTGCCATGGTAACTTTGAACGGTCACTAAACAAACTCTTGTTAAGTCGAGAACTACCCATATATAAATAATTCTTGTTCTAGCTACTGAGTTTAAATTCAATGGTTCTTCTCTTCCTTTTTCCCTTTCCCTTTCTCTTCTTCCTCCTCTTCCTCCTGTCTCCCTTCTCTTCTCCTTCTCCAGCTAAAGGCATTCATCTGTTGGTCTGTCCTATCGTTCTTGTTTATAACTGGTCCAAAAATACGTTCTTAATTGGAAAACATTTTACCAGCTCTTCCTAATTAACCCGTTAAACAATACAGTACCTTCTTCTGATTTACTGAAGATTAGAAAGGCAGTTGTGATTGCAGACAACAGTACCTCCTTCCTCCTGATGTGTCTTGATTCAGCTTTTGAGGCTTTCCAAGTTGGTGCGGGTTTTTTTTTGCCAAGCGATGTTGTTGTGGCTTTTAAGGATCCCTGATGTTGACATGAGATCTTTTTTTGGGTTTCCTCCTTCTCAAGTCTTCTCACTTGTCCTTTTCCTTTTCCCCCAAGTCCTCCTGGTGAGAGGCGGGCACTCATTACAAAGCAGCACCTGAGCCTGTCGGATGGTGTGGCACAAACAGACACCACCCTGGCATTTTTCTACAACCCAAGGTAGTCTGGGGAGCGAGTAGCAATTCCCTGGAGAGCTCGCTCCATTCTTTGGGTCTCCGAAGACCAGCTTAAATTTCCCTCCTGCGAGAATTGAATAAAGCAGTGTAAATGAAACCCCGTGTTGTTCAATTTTCTCTCCTCCTGGCGTGGTGCCCGTTTTGTCTCTTTTAACAAGCATCTGGATGGCTTTGCAGCTGTTGCTGTATTTAGGCCCTCGTCTCGGTCTCTGGTAGGTGACAGGTGTCAAACAATGGAGTTTTGCTTACCAGTAGATTTCTTAGCACAGGTAAAGGTAGGCCTGGGACAAAGGGTAAACACTGGGCTAGGATGCTTGGCTGAAAAAGAGACTAAAAAACGTGTAACCGATGCCAAGTGTCCGTTCTTGAAAACCCCATTGCCTGATTTTTCTTACTGCTGTTATTAATCGTGTACACGTTTTACTTCAAAGAGTTTCCCATCAATACAGATAGTCCTTGACTTACAACAGTTCGTTTAATGACCTTTCAAAGTTACAACAGCACTGAAAAAAAGGGACGGCCATTTTTCACTCTTACGACCATTGCAGCCTTTCCATGGTCATGTGATCAAAATTCAGATGCTTGGCAACGGACTCATATTTATGGCAGTTGCCGTCTCCCGACACCTGCAAGATCAGAAAGAAATCTGAATCCTGAATTGCAGATTAGGGGGTTAAAAAGTGGGAAAGTTGAAGGCCATTATTGGTTAGGTTGGTCCGATGTAATCTTTGGGCCTCTGGTCTGCACAGTGTTGCTTTTTCTAGGTAAAGGTAAAGGTTCCCCTTGCACATATGTGCTAATCATTCCCGATTCTAGGGGGCAGTGCTCATCTCCGTTTCAAAGCCGAAGAGCCAGCACTGTCCGAAGGCGTCTCCATGGTCATATGGCGGGCATGACAACGCCAAAGGCGCACGGAACGCTGTTACCTTCCCACTGAAGGTGGTCCCAATTTTTCTACTTGCATTTTTTACCTGCTTTTTAACTGCTAGGTTGGCAGAAGCTGGGACAAGTCACGGGAGCTCACCCCGTTATGCGGCACTCGGGATTCAAACTGCTGAACTGCCTACCTTTCGATCGACAAGCTCAGTGTCTTAGCCACTGAGTCACTGCATCCCAATCTTCTTTTTTTTTCTTTTCTACAAAGAGCTAAATTTCCTCACTAGATTCTGGGTGTTCAGCTCTTGAAAGAGAATTGAAAGGGGAGAAAGTGAATCTTACTTGTCTCGCATTTACATTTTAAAAAAAAATATATCAAAGGAGCTTCTATTTCTTGGTGATTTGCAGCACAGATTGAAATTCCTGAATTTAACAAAAGGGTATCTTCAAACTAAAGATGAAATTATGTTTTTCTTTTCTTCTTACAATTTTTGGATTGCCTTGATTTTCAAGCTGATGTCTCCTTGATTGTGCTTTACACTCGAGCAATGGCTCGAGACGTCAAAACTTTGCAAAAGTAGGATTGGATCTGGAGTAGTTGGTGGTTTCCCATTCTGTTTTTTATCTTCTAAAAATACTTCATTATAATTACAGTTTAGGGCAGCTTTCCCAGCGAGAAGCCATGCGTTACCTCCCAAGGCCTCCAAATAGCAAAACCGATGGTCAGCCTGGGCACATTGCTTTAGAGTAAAGATGGGAGAATATGTGAGTCTTCTCTTTCGGAGATCTACTTTGTCTTCTACTCTGGAGACCTTCCTACAAGGTCAATGCCAGAAGAGATTCTTTGGGAGTCTTCTACTTTATCTTCTACTTTGGAGACTTTGCTACAAGGTTGACATTAGAAGAGATGCTTTGGAAGTCCTCTTTATCTTCTCCTTTGGAGACCTTCCTACAAGGCTGATGCCACAGGAGATTCCTACACCAGGAGGAAGACCTGCAAACCCCTCATCTCCCTGTTAGCTCCAGGCTGCTGAAGAAACACTGCAGAATATAAATTTCACTCTTTGCAAGCAGCGCCATCTGGTGGTCACAGTTGCATCAAAGTCATCTTGGTTAAACTCAGATTGGAAAAGTCTCAGAACTGCTTTTATTCTTCAGTTTAGCGATTGGATCGTCCGGGGGGGGGGGGGGGGACCCTTATTAGTATCTCACATCTCATGGCAAAACACCTTTTTTATTTGCGCTGTCCTGTAAGGTTTCGTTCAACAACTCAGCCAGTTTGAGTATCTTTCAGAGCAAAACGGGTCAAGGTGTCCCTTCGGTGGAGTCATTTATTTATATATTTAGGGTGATATGAAGACCACTTTGGGGATGGATAAGTTCTGAAGATCCTCTGTCTTTGTTAACTATTCTCTGAACTGCTTTAAGGTGGACTTTTCTTCCTTCTTTCCTCCCTCCTTCCCTCCCTCGTAGTGTCATCAATCTTCAGGGGAAGACATGGAGATCTCGGATGACGAGATGAGCGAATCGCCCAACGCGGAATGTGCCAAGAACATTGTGGTGAACACCTCCATTGGCGGCACCTCTGTGATGACCTCCTCCATCCCGATGCCTCCGCCCGGCTTTCCTCCGCTGCCGCCACCTCCGCCTCCCCAGACGGTCTTCCCGATGCCTCCTCCTCTTCCTCCCCCACCTCCGCCCACCCACCCAACCGTCCCCCCTCCGCCCCTGCCGACCCCTCCAGGGGTCCCTCCCCCTCACATCTTGCCCCCTCTCCCTCCCTTCCATCCCGGGATGTTTCCTCTGATGCAGATGGACATGATCAGCGTCCTGGGCAACCAGTGGGGGGGCCTGTCCATGTCTTTCCAAATGCAAACCCAGATGCTCAGCCGCCTGATGCAAGGGCAGAACAGCTACCAGTATCCACCCTTCATGAGCAACCGGATGCAGTTTGTGAACCTCCCTCCCTACCGGCATTTCTCCATGGGGGCAGCTATGAACCGGGGTCAGCAGTGGCCCCCTATGCCCAGGTTTGACCCCTCCGTCCCCCCTCCGGGTTACGAGCCCAAGAAGGAAGATCCGCACAAGGCCACGGTGGACGGCGTCCTCTTGGTGATCGTGAAGGAACTCAAAGCAATAATGAAAAGGGATTTGAACAAGAAGATGGTGGAAGTGGTGGCATTCCGGGCGTTTGACGATTGGTGGGACAAGAAAGAACGTCTTGCTAAGGTAGGAAGTTTCTCCCACCGTTCTGTCAGTGAAGTTAATTTCCTACAGCAAGGGTCTGCAAACTTGGCCACTTTCGAAGACTTGTGGACTTCAGCTCCCAGAATTCCTCATGCTGGCTGGGGAATTCTGGGAGTTGAAGCCCATAGGTCTTAAAGCTGCCACGTTTGTGGAGAGCCGTGTTGTAGACCAGCGTTTCTCAACCTCTGACTTTAAGACGTATGGACTTAAGACGTAATGGCTGACTGGGGAATTCTGGGAGTTGAAGTCCATACATCTTAAAGTGATCAAGGTTGAGAAACACTGGTCTAGATCATCTACCTCCTTGTCTCCAGTGGCATGATTCAACATGTTATATATTTGAATACCCATAAAACATCAGCCTGTTTTCAGACATGAATACAATCTTGAATCAATGATTTAATAGCGCTGGGTTCAGATAGATTTCTGCTGTGGATGACCATAACTTAAACATTCCAGACTCTGGCAATATACAGCTTTAAACTGGGATCTGGGGAACCAAACTCATCCTGTTTGCAGCCATGAATGGAAGATCGGACCAAGTGAAGGTCCAGCAGTTAATTTGGGAATATTTGCAGCAAGCTAGGTTGATGTGCAGATTATACTACCCAGGGTTTATGCATGATGAATTTCTCCTGTGAAATTTAAGCAAGAAAGTTCTGGTCATCTTCATGGTGACAAATCAGCTGACTGTATCTGTTCAGAGAAATACAAGAGTATAGAAAAGGAATGGAATAGAAAAAGCTCCTTTGGCCCCCAAAGTGAGATCTTGCCTGTCTTTCCCAGGCGTCTTTGACCCCGGTAAAATCTGGGGACCATAAAGATGAGGAGAAGCCGAAACCAAAGGACCGCATCACCTCCTGTCTTCTGGAGAACTGGAATAAAGGAGAAGGGTTGGGCTACGAAGGGATCGGCTTGGGCATCGGGCTGCGAGGGGCCATCCGGTTACCATCTTTCAAGGTAAGAGCCTCCTTGGCGTCTCGAGAACGGGAAGTTGGTGTTTGCTTTGATTCCCAGCACAGGATTTCATGCCCTGAATTTTGACCTTATGTTAGATTATAGGACCTGTTCAAGGAATGATGGATTGCTTAGCTCTTATTGACAGCTGGCAGGTGCGCTGGAACCTACAATAGTCTCTCTATTTAGAGAGAGCACCACTGATTCAGAAGAACAATTATTTGGGAGCACCTTATATGGCTGGAGATTTCATCTCCTGGAATCAGACAATTTTTGGTAAATTATTAGAAGTCCCATAGCAGACTTAAGAATGGCGTGATCAGGGTTGAAGGTGTTGGTCATAGCCCACCTTAACTGTCATAACTTCAAGTGGTCAATAAATGAATTATTTGTAAGTTGAGAACTACCTGTATAGGAAATTTATTTTCACACTCTTCTGTAGCCAGCCTCTTTTTAAACTTTTGGGAGTCTTCTGCCTTCTCCTTGGCAAAGGCAAGACAACTAGCAAATCACCCTTTCCCAAAAGAGATTTCATTCTCTGTTTTCTTCAGGTGAAGAGAAAGGAACCACCTGAAGCTGCCTCAGCTGGAGACCAGAAGCGGATTCGGCCATCTACCTCCGTAGATGATGAAGATGAAGGTTGCTAGGCTTTGCTTCCTCCTCTTTCAGCCCTTCAGATTAGAACTAGGCTTAACCTGTGACCGAAGTAGAGCCAATAGGGTTTGGCATGGCTAGCTTAAACCCCATTGCTCTAAGCATGACCAAATAATGTGTGCATCTTGATAATATCTTGAAAACATGCCCAGGAAGAATATTGGAAATATTAAGCATGTACAGTGGTTAAAGTGCTGGCCTAGAAACCAGGAGACCATGAGTTCAAGTCCCGCCTTAAGCATGAAAAACTGGCCGGGTGACTTTGGGCCAGTCCTTTTCTCTCAGCCCAACCGACCTCAAGGGTTGTTGTTGTTGTGGGGAAAAGAGGAGGAGGAAAGAGTATTGTGTGCATTCACCTCCTTCTAAAGGCTGAATGACAAATAAATAAAAACAAATCAATAAATAAATCTCCCTAGACCGTATGCAGGGGTGAGCATTTTCACAGTCAAACCAAACCAACCGCATTTTTGACTTAGTAAATTGCGTGAACCAGCACACCGTGTCCCCTGTAACAAGTGGCAATGTCACCGGCACCATATACCCACCATGTGCGTGATAATGCCACATCTCTAGGCTTTTATTTGGCTCAAGGTGCCTTAGTCCAATCTGCATATCTGTGTCTTTTTTACCATTTCTTTTTTGCAAAAGTTGTGTCTGGCTCCCTCCCTCCCTCCGCTCAACCCATCCATTTTATACTTAGAATCCGAACGAGATCGAGACCTGCCCGATGCAGCCTTGGAGCTCTCCAGGAAAGATCCGGAAGCTGTGGGCCTCCGAAGAAGACCTGCCAGGCCATTGGAGCTGGACAGCGAAGGAGAGGAGGAAGACTCCGGCAAGGAAGAGGAAGAAGAGGAGGAGGAATCCTCTTCGGAAAAAGAGGCAGAACGGGAGGAAGAGGAAGGGGTGATGAAATCCGTGTCCGATAAGGTATATATATCCTGAGTTGTCTTCATAGGTGATGAGTAACATCTTAGTCCTGCAAGAATCAAGAGATCCTTAGAACCGCGAACCTCACCTTGTAGGCCCTGTGGAATGTTTTATCCACAGGAGTATACTACTAACACGGCAAATGTTCAGGTAAACGACATCACTGAAGGCCATCCCCGAGTCCTCAGTTACATCCAGGAAAAAGGCAGTAAGGATTCAAGTGGGTTACAGCCTGAAGCATCCTCTCCTTCCTTTGAGGTGTTTCTAGTGAAGTTGGCAGGATTTAAAGATCTCTCTATTTATATTCTTCCTCAACGTCGTGCCTGGAAGGATATATCCTTGCTTCTTAGACTACCTCGTGGCCAATCTGTAGCTGGTTGCTTCTGTTTTATCTAGGTTAGTTCTTCCCAACCCGATGCCTTGGAGATATATTTTGGACCCATAATTTTAGGCCTAGCTGTTAATTAGGTCATGGCTGAGGTTTCTTATCCTAATGTCAGCTCTTGATCCAACTGTTTTCCCTCGCCCTGGGCTGACCAGGAGTATTTACTGAACTTTCCAAATTCCTTCTTTCTAAGGAAGAGGAGGAAGAGGAAGATGTCAACGAAGAAGAGGAGGAGGAAGAAGAGGAGGAGGAAGAAGAAGAAGAAACCGAAGCACAGATCAGTGAAAAGGAAGAGGATCAAGATTCTGAAGAAGGTACGCGGCTTTATCAGCAGTTGAAAACAACTTGTTGATTTTAACACCGGGGGGTTAGGGGAATTACCAAAAGCTGATGATATTCTGAATGGAGGAGGGAGTTTGATACAGATAGTCCTTGATTTAGGACCACCATTGCAGAATTTCCGTTGCTAAGCAAGACAGCTGTTACAGGAGTTGCGTCTGATTTTACAATCCTTTTTTCTTTTTTTGCCACGGAGGTCAACGGTCACTGCAGTCGTTAAGTGAATCCGACTTTCCCCCATCGAGTTGGCTCATCAGAAGCCAGCTGGGAAGGTCGCAAATGATAATCACCTGACCCCGGAATGCTGCCATGTGTCGTAAATGCACGTGGGTTGCCAAGAACTCGGATTTTGACCACGTGACCGTGGGGATGTCTTAATGTTTATAGGTGTGACTTTTTTTGCAAGTCCCATTTTTCAGTCCCATTGTCACTTCAAATGGTCAGTAAAGTCAAGGGCTGCCTGTATTCCTTACGAAACCATCGAATTTGCAGTTTTCTAATGAAATGAGCATTTCCTTGTTAAAAGGGCTTTAGGTGAGGCATTGTTTGGGATGCTAACAGTGGCTGCTAGCTCAGATAACTTTAGTAACACCAGAGAAGTTTTCTCTTTGGTGAGGTTGTGCAGCAAAGTAGTAAAATTGGGTGGGAAAACAGAAAGGTTGGTTTCTCTGATCTGTTTTGAACCCCCTCCCCCACCCCCACCGGGGTGGGATTCAAAAATTTTAGCAACCGGTTCTCTGCTCGTGTGGGTGTGGGGGGGCGTGATGGGCGTGGCCTACTCAGCCTCCTGCACTGTGGCGGGGGGCATTTTTGCCCTCCCCAGGCTCCGGAGGCTTTCCTTGAGCCTCCAGGAGGGTGAAAATGGCCGCCTCCAGAGGCCAGAAACGGGCCTATTTCCAGACTTCTGGAACTTCCGGGAGGCCCGTTTTTCGCCCTCTCAGAGCCTCCGCACGGGCCCTGCGCTTACCTGGCATCCAAAATGGACCGCATGGGGACTCCTGGGAGGGGCAGGGCAGGGTGGGTGGGGACAACCAGTCCTTGCAACTACCGTTTCAGCGAACCAGATGTAAAATTAGAATCTGGCTGAATCCCACGTCTCCCCCCCCCAGAAAAAATCGAAATGAACCACAAACGTTTTGCCTTTCAGCAGAAGATCTAGGAAGTCCTGCCTCTTCCAGAGCAGAACTTGAGTCGTCCGATGAAAGTGAGGAATCATCAGACTTCGGGACAAGTTCTGATTCTGATGATGAAGACGAAGAAGAGGAGGAGGAGGAAGAAGAGGAGGAGGAAGAAGAAGAAGAAGAGCAGGAGGAGGGTGAAAATTACGAGGAGCAGATGGAGGATGATGAGGGGGTCTCTTTATCGCATGAGAGGGAGACCTTGCCTGCTGAACTGGGCCTCGAGTCTCTCGCTCCAGGGCCTGAAGATGAGGATGAAAAAGAGACCATCTTGGAACTCTTTCCGGTGGAGGAGGACTACATCCCCCTAGGCCTGGCAGAACCTTCGGCTCCAGAAGGAGAAGAGATGAAAGAAGACACCAGGCCAGCAGAAGAGCAGGACCAGGAGATTCCCGAGGAGTCCTTGGCTGCCGATGTGCTGGTGGTGATCGAGAGAGCTCAGGAGCAGAAGCTCCGGCTATCTCCAGTGTGTATGACAGGTAGGACCTCACCCTTACCTTTTCCAGCGAGGCTGTCTCCCAGGGGCTGAGCTCACTGATCATCAAGGTCTCCGTCAAGCCGATCTTCGGGCTACTTCTTGGGTTGTAACACTTAGGATAATTTTTTTTTTAAGCGTGACCTGGAAATAAACGCTGATTCTTAATGTCCCTAGATAACTCAAGGCCCAAATATTAATTTAATTGGGTGATGCTCCAGCGACATCTTAAATTTATTTATATAAGTTGTATAATATTATATAAATATAAGTTGAGGGGGATCCTTGGTGCTCTCCGAGCTTGGTTGTTTTCTTGCAGATGTTTCATTACCCAAACCTCCCAGAGTCCCTTGGGAGTTGGGCGGCATAGAAATGTGACAAAATAAATAAATAAATAAATAAATAAACTAGGTAACATTAGCACTGATTATGTTACTAGTTCAGTAATGAAACATCTTCAGGAAAGCAACCAAGCTCAGAGAAGAACATCCAAGGACCCCCTCATTTCAAGCCTGAGCTACAAATATTCTCCTTTATTGGTAAATATAAGTTACTCAGGGTTCTCTTTTTTTCAGTATTTAAAATTAAGGCACACGGAATTTTTGCTTAGGTGGAAACACCCTTTGTGATTTACAAGGGAGGAATTTTACGCTTAGAGGGACATGATGTCTTCAGTTGTGGTAAAATGCACAGGGTTTTCCAAAACATACGGTTGCTTTTGCAAAAGAGCATGGTCCAACCTGCAATATATACAGGGTACGTACCTTATTCTTAACTCATAGTATTTCATGTTACCATAGAAGAGAATCTCGGGGTAGAACTGTGGAGTTCTTGATGCTCTCTGAACTTGGGGGTTGACTTGACGTTACCTAGTAATGAAATGTCTACAACCAGCAATCACATTCAGCAAGGAATCCATATTTCATGTTATATACAAAAAAAATGGACCTGCTCGGCTTAATTTGGGTAGATTTGCGTGGACAACAATCCTGTTTCTCAGGCAGGTGCTAAGTTCCTTTCACACCTCTCATGGAGAACGTTGAAGAAGAACCTTCATGCCTCTGTTTCTTTCCCCCTTCCAGTGGAGGAGTCTGAACCAGACGTCGAACTGGAGCCTGAGATGCTGGACGGTCCAAAACCAGACGCCCAGGAGGGTGAAGGCCTCCGTCCTCCAACCCCGGTGGAACTCTTTGGAGAAGTCTTGTCCAACAAGACCTCCTTTTTCACTAAGCCCAATGACAGCACTTTAGAAATCCAAGCAAAAGGCAAATCGCCCTGCGTAGCTGAGGAGGAGGAGGAGGAAGAAGAGGAAGAGGAAGAGGACCAGCTTCCTCGGACTCCCGGGAGGGAAGTGGTGACTCCCATGGAGTCCACAGGGCTTCCTTTCACCGCCATGCCGCCCTGCTCGCTTCCCCTGCCCTCTTCCGTCGCACCTCACAAAGAGGAATACTTGCTCCTTCCGGACAAGTTCCCTGATCACTTAGCCCCAAGCAAGACAGCACTAGAGGAGGAGCTGCCCCGGACGCCGGGCCGGGACATTTTAGCCAAGTGTTCCCACAGCCTCTCCAAGTCCCACAGCACGGACACCATCCCCGCCACGCCGGGGAGCGAGGCGCCTCTCACCGGAAGCAGCTTGACTCTGAGTTCTCCTCCGGTGCCAGGCAGCCCTTTCTCGTACCCGTCCCAATCCCCCAGCATCAACAGCGGGGGCATTCCCCGGACCCCTGGGCGGGATTTCACCTTCACGCCTACGTTCCCCGAGCCTGGTGCTACTGCCCTCCCTTGCCTTCTGTCGAGCAAGAAGCCGTCGGAGGACGAGCCCGACGAGAAAGTCTTCAAAGAACCTCTCGGGGCTTCCTTGTTGGCTGGCGTGAACAGCGTGCCCTCCCCCATCCCCTTTGCCAGCCCCCCCGTGCCAGCTTTTCACACCCATTTGGACTTAGCGCCCGGCCAGCCTCTCACGGTTCGTCCTTGCCTGTTCACGGACTCCAAGATGGCGCTAGAGGAGTGCGGTCCGGACACAAGGTCCATCTTACCTTTCCCGGACATCCCCATGGCTTCGCCCCCTCTCCCTCCGCCCAGCCCCTCTTCCGTCCTCCCCATCAAAAGGAAACCGGGCCGGCCGAAACGAGCTTCTCCTTTAGGACCCATGTTGGAGGCCTATTCGGACAAGCCCGTAGAGGCTCCACCTCTGCTTCCCATCCCGGTGGCCTTGACAGAAAGTCCTGTGAACAAAGAGCTATTCGGTAGCCATCCCGAGGGCTTCTATGCCCTCAAAGATCCGGAAGCGGTCACCTTGGACTTCCGGAACGACGGTTTCCACGAGAAGCTGCCTCCCGACGTCCTGATGGAGAAGCTCCCTTTCAAGGAGCTGGAGAACCAGTGGAACGAGGACTTCAAAGAAGAAGAAGGCTACCTGAAAGCCAAAAGGCAGCAGTGGAGGCGGCAGAAGAAGAGGCCCGACGACGTCCCGCAGATCCCTTCTCCCGACTATTCCCCCCCTCGGTTCCACTTCCGGCCCCGCTCCGAGTTCGAGGAGATGACCATTCTGTACGACATCTGGAACGGAGGGATCGACGAAGAGGACATCCAGTTCCTCTGCGTCACCTACGATCACCTGTTGCAGCAAGACAACGGCATGGACTGGCTGAACGACACGCTGTGGGTGTACCATCCTCATATCCTTTGCCAGGCAGGACTCCAGACCTTCTGACCACGAGGCTAATTGGGAGAGGTTAATGAGAACTTCCTCTGGGGAGCCCCAGCAGGATCGTTGCACGATGGAGCAGAACGGAATCCTGCCAAGGAATGCCAGGAAAGGCCCCTCCCAAAAAATATTGAGGCGCCCTCCTTTTTTTTTTATCCTAAATTCTGCCAGGTGTTTAGGGAGGCATGTTTCAGAGATATTCGCAGATTTTGGACCACTTTTCCCGAGGGTAGGTATCACCGGGAGAAGATGCAGGTCACCTGCAGATGGTACTCTATAGTTTTAGAGCAGGGATGGCGAACTTTTTCGGCACCAAATGCCCAAACCGGAACGTGTGCACACCGGAGTGCCAGAAACCCGAAGACCAGGTGGCCAGTGCACATGCTGGCTTCGGGTTTCTGGCGCTCCGGCGCACCCAAAGACCAGGGAGCTGGTGTGCATGTGCGTGCTGAAAACCCAAAGCCCAGGTGGCGGGCGCATGCATGTACATTATTTCCAGTGCTCTGGCATGCATGAGGACCAGTTGGCCGGCGCACATGTGTGTGCTGGAAACCATAAGAGCAGCTGGTGACAGCACGTGTGTCTGTCACGTCTGACATGTGTGCCATAGGTTCACCATCATGGGTTTAGAGCAATGTTTCTCCATCTTGGCCACTTGAAGATGGGTGGACTTCAACTCCCAGGGTTCCCCAGCCAGCCATGCAAATACTGCTCTAAACCTACAGAGTGCCATCTGGAGGTGACTTGCAAATGGAGGGATGGATGGCGGAAGGGATGGAGGGCGGGAGGGAGGGAGGGAAAGAAAGAAATTCTGGGAGTTTGAAGTCTCCTCATCTTGGCCAAGGTTGAGATTTAGAGGTGTAGGTAGCACCATGTAGGTAGGGGGCATCACGGAAGGGCCACTGTAGAGAAGCCCCATCTGCAATCAATCCCCGGCTGGCACTCCCTCTTGAACACCCACTGAATTCCCACCCCCCACTGTTATTTATTCCTTTTGGGGAGGGGCATCAAAGGACCCCTGCCACTTTTTTCCTTAACATCCCGCTACCAACCAGCTTTTTCACCCCAAAGAAGAAGAAACGGGACGATGGGATGCGGGAACACGTCACCGGCTGCGCCCGAAGTGAAGGCTATTACAAAATCGACAAGAAGGACAAGCTGAAATACCTCAATAACAGCCGAGCGTTTGCAGAAGACCCTCCCACCGATACGCAGGTAAGGGGGCTGCCCCGGTGGGCTCTGACCAGAAGGGGGAGGGGATGGAATGCCTCGAAGCACGCTTGCCTGGGATTTTGTTGAGAAAAGGGGAATTCTACACCAATGCAGGTGGCCCTTGAGCTACGGCCACAATTGACCCCCAAATTTCTGTTGCTAAGCGAGACACCTTTCTCACCATGGTTGTTAAGTGAATCTGGCTTCCCCATTGACTTTGAAGGTCGCAAAAGGGGGATCACATGACCCCAGCCCGTTGCAACCGTCATAAATATAAGTCAAGCGCCTGAATGTTGATCACGTTGACCGTGGGGATGGCTGCTAAGGCCGTAAGTGTGAGAAACAGTCATAAGTCGCTTTTTTCAGCGCCCTTGTAATTTCGAACGGTTGCAAAACGAATTGTTGTAAGTGGAATACTTACTTAACAACCTGCTTAACAACTGCCTGACTCGGCAACGGGAATTTTGGGCTCGATTGTGGCCGTAAGTCGAGGACTGCCGGAGTGAGAAGGCCCCCTTCCCCTGGCCGCCCTGAAATGACCCCTTTTGTGCCCCAGGGAATGAGCATCCCTGCTCAGCTCCACGTTTCCACCCGGGCCGGCTCCGAGCGGAGGTCCGAACAGCGCAGGCTCCTCTCGTCCTTCACTGGCAGCTGCGACAGCGACTTGCTCAAATTCAACCAGCTCAAGGTGAGTTGTGTAGCCCCACCCCCACTCCCAAGGGACGAAAACTTGATGGAAGCAGGACAGGGAACCCCATGGGGAAGAAGGCTTAGATGGAGGCAGAGGCCCAGCGGGTAGGAAAAAAGCAGGGGGGAGCTCCTGGGCATTCGGCAGGGTTCGGGTGATCCTCTAGCCAAAGGTCGCCGGAGTTCAACGAACCCCCAAATGCCACCCTTGGCTGGTCACACCCACCCTGCCCTGCCCTGCCCCTCCCAGGAGTCTCCATGCGACCCGTTCATCATTCCAGATAAGTGCAGGGGCCGCGTGGAGGGTCAGAGGGCAAAAAATGGGCCCATCAGAGGTTCTGGAAGTCCGGAAATGAGCCTGTTTCTGGCCTCCGGAGGGCCTCTGGACTCCAGGGGAAGTTGTTTTCGCCCTCCCGGAGGCTCATGAAAAGCCTCTAGAGCCTGGGGAGTGTAAAAAACGCCCCCTCCCTGCTATGGTGCAGGCAGCCAACTAGGCCACACCCACCATGGCCACGCCCACCCAGCAATGGGGCAGTGAACCCGTTGCTAAAGGATCTGAAGCCCACCCTTGGAAAAAAAAAAAGTCCAAAACTTAACGAATCCCTCCAGGACAGGGCAGGAAGCGCCATTGAGACCCGTGTCGTCCTAACCCTCCTGCAGCCCAACAGCTTACAGGCAGTCCTCCTTTAGCGACCAACCTCGTTCAGCAACATTCGCAAGCGGGACAGTGACGAAAAAGCAACTTTGGTCACTGTCCTCGCATTGACGACCTTTCACCGGTCTGTAAAACCAAGTTTGGAAGCACGATTGTGCTTTCATTTAGCAAACACTTCGCTCAATGACTAAGCGGCCCGACGACGTTGCGGTCGCTAAAACGAGGACCGCCGGCCATCATCATTCCCAGAAGGGCCCTCCCCTCTCCGTTTGGAGGGTTAATTCTGCCTCCGGTTTTGCCATCGCAAGCGAGGAAGCTTTTAGGGCTTTCCCAGCGTGGATTTGTTCAGCCATCTGTCGTCTTCTGCCTCCGCTCTGCAGTTCCGGAAGAAGAAGCTAAAATTCTGCAAGAGTCACATTCACGACTGGGGGCTCTTTGCCATGGAGCCCATTGCTGCCGACGAGATGGTGATCGAGTACGTGGGCCAAAATATCCGACAGGTAAGCTGCCACAGGTAATCCTGTCCCCGGAGGCTGCTACACTCGGAAGCTCCCCCAATCCTGGTAAGAAACGTAAGAAACTTAGGAGCTACCTCCGAGTGGACGGCAGCATCCCGTTTCTTGGTCCTTGGCTCTGAAGGCCCTTTCAGGTCTTGGACCACGGACCTTCGCTCTGCTCTGCATTTGGTAACTGCTATGTGCCAGTTTTAAGGGTCGGGGTGGTGGTGGTGGTGGTTTGGAAAACTGGGGATACCCTGGCTTTTGTTGTGCTCTTTCAAATCCTGCTACCTTCAGTAGCTGCCCTTTGTCATAGGTCCCATCAGCCCCACTCCCTCCCTTACCCCTATCCCTTCCTTCCTTCCTTCCCTCAGACTTTGGCCTGACTTGAGGTGTCTCCTTCCTCCCTCCCTCCCATCTCTTTCCTCCCTCCCTTCCTTTCCTCCCTCCCTCCCTCCTTCCTTCTTCCCTCCCTCTCTCCTTCCCATCTCTTCCTTCCTCCCTCCCTTCCTTCCGACTTTGGCCTGACTTCAGGTATCTCTCTTCTTTCTTTCTTTCTTTCTTTCTTTCTTTCTTTCTTTCTTTCTTTCCTTCCTTCCTTCCTTCCTTCCTTCCTTCCTTCCTTCCTTCCTTCCCTCCCTCCCTCCCTCCCTCCCTCCCTCCCTCCCTCCTTCCCATCTCTTCCTTCCTCCCTCCCTCCCTTCCGACTTTGGCCTGACTTGAGGTGTCTCCCCGCAGGTCATTGCTGACATGCGAGAGAAGCGGTATGAAGACGAAGGCATTGGGAGCAGCTACATGTTCCGAGTGGACCACGACACAATCATTGATGCAACCAAGTGCGGAAACTTCGCCCGCTTCATCAACCACAGTTGCAACGTAAGTCTTTTCTTCCTCTGGCACCTTCTGGGGATCCTCCAGAAAGCTTTGCTTTCGCCTAAACCTTATATTGCGTGTTGGGCAGGCTGGGTGACCCTCAATCCTCACCCCGCTTCTCTCCCTGCAGCCCAACTGCTACGCGAAGGTCATCACGGTGGAGTCGCAGAAGAAGATCGTCATCTACTCCAAGCAGCACATCAGCGTGAACGAGGAAATCACCTACGACTACAAGTTCCCCATCGAGGACGTCAAGATCCCCTGCTTGTGTGGCTCCGAGAACTGTCGAGGGACCCTGAATTAAGAAAAGAAAAACCCAGTTGTGGGCCACGCATCGGCGGCCTCCAGACTGCGGAAACCGAGGGCGTTTGGTTGCACTTTTGCCAAAAAAGGAGGGGGAAAAAATGAAACCAAGTAGGGAAAGAAAAGAAAAATGGGAGAGTGAAAAAAAAATCCCAACCCGCTGGGCACGTCCTCTCCTTCCCGAAGGAGACACGCAAGTTTCAGACACGCACACTAGGACTTTTATTGCTGCAGGTGCTTTTCATCCAATTTTCATCCAGTTCCTCGTCTTCTCCTGAGTTGTTCCGACATCAAAACACTATTATTTTTTTAAAAAACTCCCTGCCCACCTGCTCCGCATCAGCCTAACTCCAGTTGGGGTACAGCAAGGTATTTTGTCTTTTCGTTAAAAACATGACTTTCTTCATAAGATGCTGCTACTTTTCCTCCTTCATTTACAGGTGTAGGTGGTGGGGGCTCTTGGAGAGAGGCGGGGGCCCAAGCCAGGATTTTTCGAAGGTTGAAATGCATCCAGCGGAGGCGGAGAGCGGGATTCAAAAGGGGAGGAGCCATACATGCGATGTGGGGTTGCAGGTAGCCGAAGCTCTTAAGGAATGTCCAGGTGAACAGTGGGCCATGGAGTATGGGGGGGGGGTCTCATCCCACCAACTTCTGAAGTCAAAGAAATCGGAGCTCTGAAATCCTCACTCGCTCGTGAACGTCCCAGGTATAGGATCAAGAGCATCCTAGCCTCTTGTTTTGAAAAACAGAGATTTTTAGATCCTTTCGTCCCTCACCAGCCTAGCCGTGCCTGATGGTTTTGAAAGCAGAGAAGGTCCCTCCCTCTTCGGGCAGTGTCCACCAGGCCCTGCTGCCTTCTGTGGGGCAGAAGGAGGACAGCTGTCCCCTCCCAAGGAATAGAGGAGACAAGGTGGACTCAGAACCCCAGAGCAAAAACTGCCGTTTCCTCTCTTGGGGGTCCCTCTCAAGCAGGTTAGTCTTGGTAGTCTAGGAGGACCAAGGTCTTTCTGGGTGGCTAAACTGGCTTGGTAGAGGTCAGTTGGGCATGCTGGCTCTGTCCTCGTTGTACCACCACTTACCACTCCAGCAGGGCTGTGAGAGCAAAGGCTCTTCAAATCAAACTTTGGCTGCCCACCACCAACGGGGTCTCCAAGGCGGTCCTTGTATAGCAAGCCAAGCAGGCTCAAGCATCAGAGAAGTGGATGCCTCTCTAGGACGGTAGCCGGGTGAGGTGCTGAAGGGTTGACTTTCAAATCTGGTCTGGGGGGTTGTTAAAATTCAAATTGAGGAGCAAATCTTGGGTTCTGTGGCACCTCTCGGCCTCTGGTTACATTTTCGGGCCCTGCTGAAAAACCCATCAATTACTGGATTAAAAACAGAGGCCAGCAGAGGTTGCCTAAAAATTATTTTTAGAGATACCCCTCACCCCTTTCCTTCCCCCCACAAACCGGTGGCTTAGCCTCCATTGGCTTCTGTGTTCTGCTCTCTTTAGGTTGGTAGGACGTGGCTAGCCCACCCGTTCTTCGGGATGCTCCTTAATCGATCGGCGTGGCAGCTGGCTTCTGTGGCTTGTGGCCTAAAGAGGTGGACAGGAAGAGGCAGGAGGAGCCTCAGTTCAGCTCCTTAACCTGTAGAGGTGGTCCTCCTTGACCTCCACGGTGGAGAAGTTGGGTTTGCTCAAGGAGGAAGGAGAGCAGGTCCTGCTCTGTTTCTCTTCCCTGCCGTCTCCCCGTTTCTCCTCAGGCTTCTCAGTCATTTGATGCCTCCCATTGTAGACAAACCCAAGGTCTTTGCTTCCCATCATTCAGTCCAGGTAACTGCGGTCCGTCATTGGTTCCCTTTCATGCTGTGAATGTAAACCCACTGGGGAATTCTCCACACAGGCACAATCCTGAAATGTTATGTAGCAGCTTGTGCAGGAAAAGCTTCCTTGTGACCTCTCTCTCTCGCGCGTCTACGGACTTCCTCTCTTCCTTCCCCCCCACCCCCCATTTTTTTTTTCTTCCTAAGTGCAAAATGAAATACAGGAAAAAAATGTTATCCTAGGTTTGTTTGCTGTCACTTAGATTCCCGCTGGTTAGTCTCAGCCACGATTGGGCGCAGGAGGAAGAGAATGGGGAGAGCCGAAGGCTTGTCCGAAGCGTTGAGATACGTGGAATCCTAGAGCTGCAAGGTTCTCCGCCTCTCATCGTGGTTAAGTTTTCTTCTCCCGAAAAGAATTGGATTCCAGCAAAATCCTCTTCCATCCTAAATAAAGGAAGCGGGGTGTGTGTGTGTGTTAGTGACAGCTGAAAGGGGCCCAGCTGGGACCATAGACAGGTCCTCCAGCTCTCCTTCTCTTGGCTGGATCTCCAAGAAGAACGCCATCGCTTGGAGAACGTGGCCACCTCTCCTCTCTCCTCACGTGGCCTGAGAAGACCAAACTCCTCTTAGCTTGACCTCTCATGCCACGCTTCCTTGGGAAACCCCCTCCCTGATTTTGAGTCCCAGACCGCCTAGCTAAGCTAGCTTTCGGACATTCAACCCGACCCTCGGTTTCCGAGCTTGAGGTTCCTTCTTGGGAATCCAACAGTCAATCCTGAAAGCTGTTTTATCTCATCCAAAACAGCTTCTTTCTACCGTGGGAGGTGGGGAGGTTGAGGGGGGGGGGTGTCCCATTTTAAAACTGATGAAATATTATTATTTCAGTTTTGTCTTCTAATTCTTTTTTTTTTTTTTCGACCTATTTTCAGGGATCATTTCAGTGCATTTCTGTATAAAGTTTTGTTTTGTTTTTAAAGAAAACCCGTGGCGGGGGTGTGTGGTTGGGGTTAAAATGAAATTTTGAAGTTTAAAACGGACACATCACCTGTACATAGGGCATCCTTTCCGAGTCTTCTCTTCGAAACCCTTGTTTCTTGTAGAAACACGTCGTTTTTATTTGGAGGAGTGGGGTGTGGTGGGGTGTCGTTTTTGTTTCGTTCAATTTTTTGTTTGTTTGTTGGGGGCTGTTTTATTTGTACTTTAAAAGCATGTAAATAATTTGTTAAAGTGACAAATAGTAGTTTGGAGTTCTTTTTTTAAAGAAAAACAAAAAAAAGCAAAATCGCCAGCAGAAGACCTCAATGAGAGAGTCAGCGTCTTGGGGTGGGGGTGGGGGGGCCGGAGAGGGGTGGGTTGTCCCAGGAGTGAAAAGCTGGCGCTGTTTTACAGCTTGTGTCAAGCTATGTATAATGTAAATTCTGTACAAAATCTCAACCTTTTTTTGGGGTCAAATGCGTAGATCAAACTAGAAGCATTAAGACGCTGAAGATTTAAAAAAAAAAAAAACGAAATGCCAAGATGAGGCTTTTTTTTTATTTGCCTTTCTGATAATCTTAATGTGCAAAAAAAATCTATTTATTTCAAACGAAGAAAATGTGTACAGTCTATTAATGACAACCTAAAATGTATTTAAGCCGATCCACAAGTTTTGTTTTGTTTCTTATTTCTTTTTGCAAATTAAATTCTTCTTCTTCTTCTATTTTATAATGTTCCTTCTCAACTACCAAGCTAGTATTTGTAGAAGTGACATGGAAAGAAATATATTTACAGCCGAATGGGGCCGAGCTTCTGAAGTGCTTCATTGCACACGCGCAACTCGGTGTGAGCTGCAGGATCGCACCCGTCAGCCAAGAAGGCTGTGTACGGTCAGAGGCAGGTTGGGTGGGGGTCTCCCTTTCTCGCTGCAGCTGCACAAATGAGGCAAGGGTTTGAGGGTGGGAAGAAGCACTCTAAATTGGGGGAGGGTCTCTTGGTCTTGCAATGGAAAACGGAGGAAAAGACCTCCGTTGTTCCCAATTTCCGATTCTGTAAAAAGACCAATTTTTAATTTGCAGTGTGAAAAAAACAACAACCTTCTTTAAAAAGAGGGGATTTTTTAAAAAAAAAATGGTTTGCAGTAAACGACCTATATTTTTTATGTTCCTTTCAATAAATAAACAAAGAAATAAATGAATTTGGAATCTCTGCTTTGGAGATTGAGGATTTTTTAAAGGAAAACGTTCTGTTCCCTTTTGTTTTAAACAACTGTGTAGAAAAATAAAAACCAATCCTGTAGTTTCTGTGCATCTAGGTTTCTGTCATCAGTTCTTTGTTTTGAAGAATGTGGTTTGGGTTTTCTTTTCTTTTTGTTTTGGTTTTTTTTCCTCCTTTTTGTTTTGCTTTGTTGTGGGTGTGTCATTCTGTAAATATTTGTTCATATTTTTTTGTGAATTGAATACTATGTACCATTGTATTATAGTAACTTTTATAAAGCAAACCATAAATATACTGACTTTTCTTATAGAAGATCTGTGCTTGGTTTATTAGCCTGAAAGAAGACACATTTTGCTTCCTGGCTCTTGTGGCTGGAAGATGATTGGCAGGAAGTGGGGGGCGGGGTTTCCCGCAGGGGATGGTTAAAAAAATGCCAAAATGGCAACTGCACCATGCAACTCCTTATTTTTTAGGTTTTAACAATATACTGCCCAGAGTTGCTCTTTGATGGACTTGTGCGATCTCCAAATTTGACATCCAAGTAAATAAACTAAGGCCATCTCCTTGACCTTCACACTGTCAATTCCCTTTACTTATCATCCTTGTCCATTGATCTCTGAACAGGATAAGGTGGTAGGACCGCTGCTTCTAATTTACTCAGCCGGGCAGGAGAACAAGATAGGCTTCTGTTCAAAAGTTCAATCAATGGTGGGTCTTGATTCCAGAGGTTCCCCTTTTATAAGGAAAAACCACTAAAAAAATCACTGTGTTGTGTAGTTTGCCCACCAACCAGCCAGGATCATCCACCATCGAGCTGGCATTCCGCAACCAGCGAGCCTCTGCCATCCTCCCTGTCTTTTGTGAGAAGATGGCGCACGATGGGTTCTGCTAAAACTCATATCAAACTTATTTCTCATTCTCAACTTTGGCAACTTGAACATGCGCGGACTTCAACTCCCAGAATTCATGCTGGCTGGCTGGGGAATTCTGGGAGATGAAGTCCACGCATCTTCAAGTTGCCAAAGGTTAAGAGACCTTCGCTAAAAAGAGAAGAAGACATCACAATTCTGTTTTTCCCCGCCAGTCCTTAGATGTTAATATCAGGAGCCGTGTCATCTCTGGTTCATTTTCCATCCATCGTCCCCAAAACGGACACCGCGAGAAGCTCATTTATTTATATTTTAATTCAACAACAAAAGATCAGGCTACAATGGAAGATCGGCACGTAATCTTCGCCCATCGCATTTTACATCTGAGGACATCTCACTTTGGGGCTGATGGACGTTACATGAGCTTGGATTCTCCGTCAGGGGTCAGGATGGTGAGGTTCCCTCGAGCATCTTGATCAATTTCAATAGCTTCGAACAGAGACTTGAAGTTTCCCGCTCCAAATCCCTAAATTTAGAGGAAAAACAAAACCAGGCGTAAGTATTAATTAATTAATTTTTTTTTGCCAACCTATACACCAACCTGTCTCTGCAGATTATGATAAATTTCTTTTCTCTGACGCTGGGATGTTCTGTTTAGAACATGCCAAAATGACAGTTGGCGACCCAGTTCTTCATTTCATGAGTGTAGAGACACCTCCGCAAAATAGTGAGGAAGGGAGTTCAAATTAATTGAACCTGGCTTAGAATATCATCTGGCTAGATCGGTGTGTCCCAACTTTGGCCATTTCAGGAGTATGGACTTCAACCCCCAGAATTCTTATCCGTGGCCTTATGCCAATGGAATTCTGGGAGTTGGAAGTCCACAAACTCAGAAATGGCTAAGATCAGGGTGCACTGGGCTAGAGCAAAAATCTCCAAACTTAGCAACTTTAAGACTTAAGAACTTCAACTCCCAGAATTCTTTCAGTTGAGTTGGGAAGTTGAAGTCCACAAGTCTTCAAATTGCCAAGTTGGAAATCCCTGGGCTTGAAGATCTCCAGATTGGTTAATCGAGTAGCCGCAGCAACAGGCTTCAGAAATCCTATCACCCAACTCCCCGTTGCAATTTCCTCAAGACTTCCAACTTCTTTTGGTACTGAAAATTTGCCTCCGGTTTTTAGAAAGCCGACAGAAACCGGAGGAGGCCCAAGGATGACCTCACAGCATCTGCAAAACCAACTCCTCTTCTTCAAAGTAACGTCGAAGAACGCTGCCCTGAGGAACCAACCTCGTGGTTGTAGCGCTGAATGACCTCAAGGAAGACGGTCGGCCTGTCCTGAACGGGCTTGGTGAAGATCTGAAGCAGGTAGCCCTTCTCGTCAAAGTCAATTAAAATTTTGAGTTCCTTGAAAGAGAACGACGAGAGACTGAAGGACGTTGCCAAAGAAATGCGAGTGACTTTATACATTTTGGTTGCATGTCGGAATGAAAACACAACAGGAAGCTCTTAGAATTAGAGTTGATTCGTCTATTCAGTTTAATGTCTGCCTAATGAATATATATAAACCAGGATGATGTATCCATCTTTGAGCAAAAGGGCTCCCATCAAGATGAAGGAACAATAAATCGTAGTTTTTATTATATTTCTGTAGCCCTTCTTCCCTCAAGAGGCCTCCCTGATCTTCCTGCTCTCCTCCATATCTTCTCAAGAACCACCTCAAGTGATAACATCTTAGATTAACACTCTAACCATGATCCCCCGCTATAATGGAAGGCAACTGACCTCCAGTTTATCAATGCTTTCCTTCACTTTGATCTTGGCTGTCCTCAACCGCTCCCGGAGCTGCTGGTAGTACTTTGATGGAACGGACATGAACTCCATGCCACGGTCTTTCAAGTTTGTGATCTACATCCAGAGAAGGTTCATGAGTGTAAAGATGGATCCCTTCCAGGAAGTTGACATGTTGGGTGGGAAGGTTTGTAAAGAAACTGGACATTCTTACCGAAGTGATGATGTCTGAAGTATTCAGGGCAATGTGCTGGACTCCAGGGCCTCCGTAATAGTCCACGTATTCCTGTGGCACAAAAGAAACCAAGATGGACCATATGCCAAGATCTCATTCAGGAACAACATCACTGTATCTACATTCTTATGCATTTGTGATGCAGAGCTATGGTAGCTGAAGAGTGGGGAGATCACAGCATCGCCAGTGCTTGCTCCTGATTCATTCTGGCTTGTGATGTGACTCAGGTAAGAATGTTGGTTTCACGCTCTGAATCCTGGTTTGCTAGGTCTCATCATTGGCTCAGTCTTCCTCGTGAAGATGACAAAAGGGCTTCAGGGCAGCCCACATATCTTTCTCCTTCTGATTATCCCACCTGTAATCTTGGTTTGACAACAACCTTGCAAGAAGTTGGAGAAGAGGCCAGCTAGATGAAGATAAAGAAGTAGCAAAAAATCCCCTCCCAAAATACAACAAGGTCTGTTGCGACGAGAATTGGTGACTCCCGTTGGGTGTTTCCACCCGCTCCCACCGCCCACAAAAGTCCGCTTTGTGGTACCTGGATCTGAGACTTCTTCTTGCCCATCGCAGGTTCATTGATGGGCATCCTGATGGTCTCCTCATAATTGGCCATGACAACAGACCGCAGGGCGCTGTATTCGGTGTGCAGTTGTTTGTCGTCCACAGACCAGAAGCGATGGAACTGGAGGTTCTTCTGATACCTTGTAGATGCCATACAGGGAAACAGAGACCTTGAGTAGAGGCTCAAACCTTCTCATCGACATCCTATTGGCCAAGACCTGGGAAACGGCCACGTTAACCAGGAATTCTGGGAGTTGAAGTCCACCCCTCTTAGTGGCTGAGAAACACTGCTGCAGGTGTTTATTAGCATTGCTTTAGAAGGAGGAAAATGTGACATTTAGACCATGTTTACCGTTTCTCCTAAGCTGCCCCCCATCCTGTCTCTCATTGAAATGCTCTTATTCATTAACTTTAATCAATAACGTTCTTTGCTCAGGAAAGCACAAAGAGAAGTTATTTGTTACCCAACTATCCAAATAGGGAGGGCTCTGATATTTTTTTCCTGAGGATTTTAATATCAAAATCTATTGAAAGCGATGAAGGAACCTTTTGACCGCAGGATAAAAAGGTCTTGAAGATCACATAGCAGGCCAAGGGCCTGTCCAGAAAGATCTCCCAAACATTTTTCTGATTGTAGAACTCTGTAATAGAACATTAGCAGGTGAGTTCAACCTTCAGTTCAGAGGTGGTATTCAGCCAATTCGGAACCATTTGCCCGAACTGGTAGCGGAAATCATAGGTTGGCCTGCCCACCCGTCCAGGCTCTATGTCGTCCTATTTAGGGACATTTTTGAGGCTAGGTGCACGCGTGGAAGGCACATGCATGACAAAAGCACATGCAAGGAAGGCCAGGAGCATGCACGGAAGGCAGGCGTGCGCACAAACTAGTAGCAATATAATGTGCCACCCACCACTGCTTCAGTTCCTCTGAATCAGTCTTCCTTATCCTGATGTGTTGGTACTCTGTGTCTTATCATTCCTTAACCAACATTCCTAGCTAAGGGAACCTGGACAACAAGGCTCCCCTTCATGTCTACTTGGGTGCCACCAGCTTCAACATCTGCTTTTATTCATTTTAAGAAAGGTTTCCAAAAAAATAAAATCTCACCATTCTACCACAGAGAGCATTTCCTGGTCGGGCTGATTCCCCACAACGTGATCGATAAAATTCAGCTTTGCGGCAGGTCTGGAAATGAGAGAGAAACGTGACCACATCATGTTCACTGGTTAATCTTCTTCTCTCTCTCTCTCTCCAGCTTCCCCGTCCTTGACCTTCAAACTAGTCACAATTCATTTTCCGTGGGATGAGGGTTTTTTCCCATCCCTTCTTCTTCTCTACTGAATTGTCCTTTCCCACGCACATCTGAGATTCCTTCCACATGACCAGAGGTGGTATTCAGCCAGTTCAGACTGGTTTGCCTGAACCGGTAGCGGAAATCATGGGTGGGGGCCCGCCCACCTGTTCCGGCTCTATGCCATGCTATTTAGGCACATTTTTGAACTGGGCACATGTATGGAAGGCATGTGTGCCTGTTGTGGTCCGCCAGCAGCCTGCGGAGCTGGCAGCAGAGTCGAACAGTGAGGAGGCTGGAGAGGACCATGGAGTCTGGGGAAGGCTCGGATGAGGGCTCTGCATCGGAGGCAGAGAAAGGGCCATCTGGGAGGTACATGCTGCCTCCGGAGCCTTCAGAGTCGGACCTCAGTGAGGCAGAGGAACAGGGGGAGCCTGTTCCCAGTGCGTGCATGCGCAGAGCTGCCAGAAGGCAAGAACAGCTAAAACAAAAGGGATGACTCGGGAGTAGGGCTGGGAGATGATTGGCCCCTCCCATAAGGCTTAAAAGAGGAGCAAAGGCACATG